TTTTTGGTGAACATCTGTGTTCATGAGGAATGATGGTTTGTTGTCTTCTTTTCTTGTAATATATTTGCGTGGTTTTGGTATCGGACTAATGTTAGTCTTATATAAGTAGTTGTGAATTCTTCCCTCCTTTTACATTTCATAGAAATTTATGTAGATTTGGTATTGTTTCTTCCTTAAATGTTTGGTAGAATTCACCATTGAAAATACCAAGGCCTTGAGTTTTCTTTGTAGGAACGTTTTTAACTACAAATGCAATTTATTTAATATGTTACCTATTTCTTTCTTCTTGCGTGAGCTTTGGTATTTTCTATTTTTTAAAGAAATTTGGACATTTCATTTAAATTTTCAAATTTATTGGCAAAAAGTTTTTCATGACTTTTTTTTATCCTTTTTATATCTGAAGAATCTATATTGATGCCATCTCTGTAATTCTTTATTTTGTTAATTTCTAATTTAATTCTGTTGTGGGCAGAGAACATACTTTGTATGACTTGAATCTTTTTGGAATATATATTAAATATATCTTTATTGATTTCAGAGAGGAATGGAGAGAGAGAGAAATATCATGATGAGAGAGAATCATTGAGCGGCTGCCTCCAGCATACTCCCTACTGGGGATTGAGCCCCTAAAATCTGGGTATGTGCCCTGACCAGGAATCTAACCATGATCTTCTGTTTCATAGGTCAATGCTCAACCACTGAGCCACACTGGTCAGGTGAATATATTTTTTAAATTGATTTTAGAGAGAGAGGAAGAGAGAGGGAGAGAGAGAGAAACATCAATGTGAGAGAGAAACATCAATCGGTTGCCTCCTGTTTGGGTCCCATCTGAGAATTAAACCCACAACCTGGGAATGTGCCCTGACTGGGAATCAAACCGAGATCCTTTGGTGCACAGGATTCCACTCATTTCACTGAGCCACACCAGCCAGGGATGACTTGAATCTTTTCAAAGTTAAAACTTGTTTTATGATCTAAATTATATTACCTATTTTAGTAAGTGTTCTCTATACTTGAGAAAAATGTATATTCTGTTGCTGTTGGATAGAGTATTCCAAATAAATGTCAATTTGTAGGCTTATTTAAAACTATTAGTTAACTGTGTACCACTCTCATTATTGTCTTTGTATATAATCTTCAATCTTGATTGGTATTCAATCTTAAGGAGTTTAGAGAAAGTTTTTATTTATTTTTTAAGTGGAAAGAGCATCCTTATGATATGTGATTACTTTCTGGTTTTCTGGTGTTGTGATTAGATAATGTTTTGTATACTAATTCTACTTTTTGGAGTTTATTTAGATTTTCTTTGTGGCCCAGTATATAGCCAGTTTTCATTGGTGTTCCATGAACACTTGAAATATAGTGCTTGGTGTGTTTTCATAGAAAATAGTTTATCAGTCAGATTTTTAAAATTGTTAGATATTCTAAACCTTTACCCATTTTTGTCCACCCAATTCCTCATGAACTGTGAGAAATAAAGTACTCTGTTAATAGTGTTATTTTCTCTGATTTTCCTTCCATCATCTGCTTTATGAATATTGGTACCATGTAATTTAGTACATACTGTATACAAATTTGGCATATAGAAATAGGAAATTTATCTTCATCATGACCTATTTATTCATTTAATGCCCTTGTAGTATGTATCCTACTTTATCTGATAGAAAGATCACAATCCCTTGTATTTCTTTGCATGGTATACTTTTGTCTATCATTCTATTTTCAGTCTTTCTGGATCACTTGGTATTTGTTTCTTGTTTACAACATAGTGTCAACATAAGAAACCTGTAGAGAATTTTTATAAGAGTTTATTTGAGCCAAATTGATGACATGCTGGGAAGCAAGATCTCAAGTGCCAAAGAGAATGGCAGTTTTGCAGTTCCTTTTATACATTTGGAAAAAAGGAGAGAGTAAGGAAGATTAAATGCAGGTGGGGAAAAAAGCAAGGTAGGGATATTGCCACGATTGGATTATAGGATTGTTAACAAGATTATGTGCTCCATTGGGGGTGGTTATGTTTCTAAGAGGTTCAAAAAAGAGACACTTCAAAGGTATGTTAACCTAGATGCACAAAAACAATGCATAGGGTTTGCATAATGTAAAAATAAACCTTTTATAGGCGTGGGGCATGACTACCTACCATGACCTGACCAGTTAGGAATTTATAATAGGATCACCCTGTCAGGTTACTTTCAGTTAGATTTATTACAGAGCCCCCCCTTTTCTTTTGCCGTTGTTCACAATAGCATTGGGGGTTTGCTTTTTGAGATTTCAGAGTTTTGCTTTTTCAAATTTCAATCTGAATATCTCAAGTGAGGTAAGCCAAATATTTTTATTTTTTTAAGAAAGGCTTTTACTACTTTACTTTTTATTCATGTACTACTGATATTTAGGAATGTGTATTTAATTCTTTTCATCCTCTGACCATATCATAAATATTAGTTTTCTTTGTGATTTACTTCATTGTCTACTGATTTTTATCTCTATTTATTGTAGACAATTTGAGTTACTGGTATATAGATTGTTTCCTCTCATGACTTAAAAATCTAATTCTAACTCAGATGTTTCTGATTACTATATCCAATTTCTTATTATTCAACAGCTAAATAAGGATGTTCCTCAAATCTGTTATAGCCAAGACTACACCTACCTTTTTCCTTCTGACACCTCCTCCCATATTTCTTATTTTATGACATTGTCAATCAACCATCACTTAATATAGAAATTTAGGAGTTATTATACTAGTAGACTTCTCCCTGTGCCTTCCAACCCACAAGCAAGTTGTCACCAAGCTCTGTAGTTTACTTTATAAATATTTCTTAATTCTGTTTGCACTGCTTTATGCCTGTTATCACTTCCTGTTTCTTTCTTTGACTACTGTAGAGCCTTCCATCTTCAGTCTTGGTTTTCCAGATCCTCTCATAAAATCACCAACCTGATCTCAAGCTATTAATCTGATGATGTCACTCTCCATTCTCCCTGTAGTATATCCTTAGTACTAAGTACCAGGCTAGGCACTTAATTCCTTATTTTATATCTTTAATAATTTAAAAATATACTTTAATATTTTCTACCTGATAATTATATATGAAGTTTCAGCCATCCATCTATGCTGTTTGTAGTTCTGCTGATGTTCACTCATGATGCATTATTTCATGAGGTGCTTTAAGTCTTTATTTTGAGTACATTTTCAGTGGGGCTTTATCAGTAGGCCTTATTTTACCTGTGCTAAGCACTATCTCTGCAGAGATTCTGAATTTGTTCTTTCAAGTACCTCAGGAGTATCCTTTTTAGGGTCATTTTTGTGTTAATTTCCTGTCTTGATTGTCCCATACTAAGGTGATAGTATAAATTCAAATCCCAAATCCACCTGCAGGTAAAGTCTTGATTCTTTCTTGGAGAGGACAGATTCATTCCCACTGAGTCCAGGCTGAGGTAGACAACCTTTCTTGTCATCTTCCTTTGTCTACAGGCAGATTTCCCCCCCCTCCCCAACCCCAGCCCCTGCCCTGCTAATTTCCTTTCACAAAGGATGCAGCTTCAAGAATCCTAGTTTTAGCCAGTTCTTTTCTTCAATTTTTTTTGGGGGGGCCTTGATCAGAAGGATTTAGGCCCCCCACGAGCGGCGCCGGGGAGTGGGTCTTCAATTTTTTTATGTTGCAAGATTCTAAGACCTCAGCTACAAGCTCTTATGTGACCCCAACATTTATAGGACAGTCTAAGTTGACAGCTCAGGGCTTATTGCTTGGGTTTTCAGTTCCCTTTTCACTTTAGACCCGGTTTTGGGAGCTCAGCTATACTTTTAAATTTTCCTCAGCATTTCTAGGGTGATTCTCCTCTCTCCCCTCTCCCCCCCTGAGGTTATCTGGCCCACTATGTTCTTGTTCAGGGTTGAAATTTGATAAAGCTTTAACACTTTTTAAATGTATGATTTTTAGTTCTGTTTTTGAAGAATCTAAATAGGATTTTGAATGTAGCCAAGAAGAATATTGATGATTAAAGGAGGCAGATAGGTGGGTTAGGAATAGCCCTATAATGCTTTCAGGATTATAGCTCCCTTATCTGATATTAATCTCAAATAAGCGTTCCTCAGTTTTCTTTTTTTTGTCAAACAAGTGCTAGCATATAGCATTTTCTTCACATACCTTCTCCCGCCTGATGGGATTTTTTTTCCTGCTAATAACTCAGGCCTTCTAGGATTTTTTAAAAAGAAAGCCATTTCTATGCAGCCAGCAGAAAATGAAAGAGTAGTGCTGAAATCTGATGCTTGGTTTTGTGACAATTTTCGGTCATAATAAGCTATTTCTCCCTCAAACTGTTTCTCCTTAAAAGGCCAAAATTATGGGTTGCTGTTCACTTGATATGAATCTATACATGATGAATTTAAAGCAATCAAAATATTATGAAACTGGGAAGTTAAATTAACTTAAAATAGCTAGCTTGGAAGATTATGACAAAATATGGACAACCTTCATTACCTGAGCTACCAACAGGACTAGTTATATCCTGTTATCATTTGATGTATTTTATTCTGTTTTTTTTCTTTGCAAATTTACAAAATTGTGACATAAATACACATTTTTAACCTAATGTTTATCATAAGGTTATTGTAAACTCTTTATAAACTTGTAATATCTACATAATATTTTATTTAAACAGCAAATTTACTGTATTATATTTTCATGTAGTCTATTTAATTCTGATTTCTCCCTCCTGTCCTCCTTCTCCTGTCTCTATACAGAAGTGAATACCTTAATGCATTATAAATTTTTTTTCTTAAAAGTATTAGGATACATTCCTAGATAGAATTACTACTGTAAAGTATTTTCACATTTCTACGACTTTTGACACATACTGCCAAATTGTTTACCAAAAACATGGTATAGAGTTATATTCTCCCAGAAGTCTTAAACAGACCACTTTCATTTTATGTTGTGTCTAACCAATGAGCCATTGGACAAATATATGATGCTGATGCTTTCTTTATGGTTTCTATACAGGATATGGTGCCTGTCATAGTTGATTACTGCCTTCTGCTACAGCGAAAGTGAGTATACATGGCCTGTCAGATTCAGTTATTTTGAACTCAGGTTGCCTCTTTCTTATAATTTACTGGTATGAATTTGACTGGCTAGGTTTAAAAAAAAATTTTTAATACATTTTTATTGATTTCAGAGAGGAATGGAGAGGGAGAGAGATAGAAACATTAATGACGAGAGAGAATCATTGATTGGCTGCCTGCTGTATGCTTCCCACTGGGGATCAAGCTGCAACCCAGGCATGTGCCCTGGTTCATAGGTCGACGCTCAACCATTAAGCCACACTGGCCAGCCTTAAAATTTAATTTACAGAAATTTGATTCTTTTATAATTTGCAGTCCATTACTGTGGTGGGTGCTAACATCCCCTCTGGGTTCTCTTTTCCTACTAGAGCAGCGGTTCTCAACCTGTGGGTCACAACCCCTTTGGCGGTCGAACGACCCTTTCACAGGGGTCACCTAAGACCATCCTGCATATCAGATATTTACATTATGATTCAAAACAGTAGCAACATTACAGTTATGAAGTAGCAACGAAAATAATTTTATGGTTGGGTCACAACATGAGGAACTGTATTTAAAGGGCCAGAAGGTTGAGGACCACTGTACTAGAGGAACGAGAGACTTGGGAGACCCATTTATCCTTAAGAATTCTTTTATATTGTAAAATCCTTTCTATGGCAGGAATCACACTATTTTTTTCTCTGTATGGCATTCCAGTCAATGTGTTATGCACATTTTTTTTTGGTTAAAATTTAGCTTTTCATTAATTCTTTAAAATCAGAAATGACAAGAAATTGTTTTTGAAGACTTGTACTTTTATTTTCACAATTTGGTCTCTGTTCCACAATTTCCTTTTTTTAAAAAAAATCTTTATTGTTTAAAGTATTACATATAGTATTACATATATCTCCTTTTTCTCCATTGACCTCACCCCCCCTAGTGTCTGTGTCCATTGGTTATACGTATATGCATGCATACAAGTCCTTTGGATGATCTCTTCCCCCTCGCCCCCCTCCCCTACCTTCCCTCTGAATTTTGATGGTCTGTTCGATGCTTCTATGTCTCTGGTTCTATTTTTGTTCATCAGTTTATGTTTTCATTAAATTCCACAAATGAGTGAGATTATGTGAATTTTCTCTTTCTCTGACTGGCTTATTTCACTTAGCATAATGCTCTCTGGGCTTTCCTTGTTGCTCTCTTTCTAATTCTTCAAGTTGCATAGTTAGATGGTTTATTACTAGTTTTTCTTGTGTTTTTTTTTGAGGTAGGCCTGTAATGCTATGAACTTCCCTCTCAGGACTGCTTTCACTGTGTCCTATAGATTTTGGATTGTTGTGTTTTCATTGTCATTTGTTTCCAGGATGGTTTTTTGTTTTTTTTTAATATATTTTATTGATTTTTTACAGAGAGGAAGGGAGAGGGATAGAGAATTAGAAACATCGATGAGAGAGAAACATCGATCAGCTGCCTCCTGCACACCCCCTACTGGGGATGTGCCTGCAACCAAGGTACATGCCCTTGACCGGAATCGAACCCTGGACCCCTCAGTCCGCAGGCTGACGCTCTATCCACTGAGCCAAACCGGTCAGGGCAATCCAGGATGTTTTTTTTTATTTCTTCTTTGATCTCTTTGGTAACCCAATTATCGTTTAATAGCATGCTATTTAGCTCCAGGTGTTTGAATTTTTTTTATTGTTTTTATGTAGTTGATTTCTTTTTTAAAAAACACAAACTTCCCATAGTTCTCCATGGCATTTTATTTATTTTTTAATTTAGTTTTTAAAAAATATATTTTTATTGATTTCAGAAAGGAAGGGAGAGGGAGAGAGAGATAGAAACATCAATGATGAGAGAGAATCATTGATCAGCTGCCTCCTGCATGCCCACCAGTGGGGATCGAGCCCACAACTTGGACACGTGCCCTTGACTGGAATCGAACCCGGGATCCTTTAGTCCATAGGCCGACACTCTATCCACTGAGCCAAACCAGCTAGGGCTGTAGTGGATTTCTAATATTATGCCATTGTGATCTGAGAAGATACTTGATATGATTTCAATCTTGAATTTGGAGAGACTTTGCCTGTGTACCAATATGTGGTCTATCTTTGAAAATGTCCCATGCACACTTTAGAAGAATGTATATTTTGTAGCTTTGGGGTGAAATGTTGTGAAGATTTCAATTAAGTCTATCTGATCTAGTGAGTCATATGGGATTGCTGTTTCTTTGCTGATTTTTTGTTTAGAGGATTTATCCAGTGATGTCAATGGGATATTAAAGTCCCCTACTATGATTATATTGCTGTCTGTCTCTCCCTTGATAGCTTCCAGAAGTATTATTTATGTATTTGGGTGCTCCAGCATTGGGTGCATATATATTTACCAGAGTTATATCCTCTTGTTGTATCGATCCCTTTACTATTATGAAGTGACCTTCCTTATGCCTTGCTATGGCCTTCACTTTGAGGTCTATTTTGTCAGATATAAGTATTGCTACCCCTGCTTTTTTTTTTTTAATTTCCATTTTCCTGGAAAATATTTTTCCATCCCTTCACTTTCAGTCTGTGTGAGCCCTTGTTGTGAGGTGATTCATGTTTTCTTATTCATTCAGTCGCTCTATGTCTTTTGATTGGAGCATTAGTCCATTTACATTTAAGGTTATTATTGATAGGTACTTGTTTGTAGCCATTTTTATTCTTTATGCCTGTGTTCCTTCTTCCCTTTCTATTTCTTCTTTTTACAACCATCCCTTTAGCATTTCTTGCATTGCTAACGTGGTAGTGATAAACTCCATTAGCCTTTCTTTTTTTGCGAAGCTCCTGATTTCCCCTTCAATTTTGAATGATAGCCTTGCTGGGTAGAGTATTCTTGGATTCAGACCCTTGCTTTGCATCACTTTGAGTACTTCATTCCATTCCCTTCTGGCCTGATGTGTTTCTGTTGAGAAATCATTTGATAATCTAATGGGACATCCCTTGTAGGTAACTCTCTGTCTGTATCTTACAGCCTTTATGATTCTCTCCTTGTCGTTAACGTTTGCCATTGTAATTATAGTGTGTAATTTGCTATGCAGCTCCAGCCCCTAAGGTGGGATGGTGTGCTAGGCCCCTCTGGCAGTGCACTTGCAGTGTGGTCCTGTGACCTGAGGTTGGGCACACCAAGTCCACCAGCAGCTCTGACCTGGGATGAGGGGAGGGTGCATGCTAGGTCACAGCTCTGTCTGTGCTGGGGGTAGGGTGTGTACTAGCTGAAGGCTCTGCCTGTGCTGGTGCCAGAGTAACCAGCGGCCCAAGGCTCTGTCTCTGCTGGGAGCATAATACACACTGGACTGCAGCTCTGTCTGGGTTGGGAGTGGGGCACTTGCCCCGCAAGGGCTCTGTCTGTGCTGGTGGCAGAGCACGCTCTGTCTGCGGCCTGCTCACTGGGCAAGGGCTCTGTCTGGGCAGAGGTTGTAGCATGCACCTGGCTGCAGTTCTGTATTGGGATCAGGGATGGAGCAGGGAGTGGCTTGCACTCATAGTGTGGTGACCTGAAGTTGGGATCCTGGGATGCTGGGTTTGGGCACTGGCTAGGAGGCACAGCTCTGGAGGTCTGTTTGGTGTGTTCTCACTGCAGACATCTGAGTCCCACGTCGGTACTGTGATGCTCACTGCTGGAGCATGGTGGTGTTCCACGCAGGTTATGGCTGGCAAGCGGCTTCCTGCACAGGTCCAAGGGTGCTGTCTGAGTTCGATCTGGATGTTGGTGTGGCAGCCCTCCTGGCCTCTGTTGCTCCCCTCTACAAGATGGTGTGCGTTCTGCACCAAAGCCGAGCAGGCCTTGGGGTGCCCATGGTGGTAATAGGACCTTCCCGTGTAGGAGAGCCCAGTCTGCCAGTCCCTGGGACTCCTGAGATATCTATCTGTCCCTCATTCACCCACACACATGCCACTCACGTCCACACACACGCCTCTTACTTCTTTACTCTGTCATACTCTCTCTCTCCTTGCCATCCTGTCAGCCACTATGTTCAATGTCTCTGTTCCACAATTTTATTTTAATTTGGTAGTGTATATTTCTTTTTTAATATTAGACAAACATATGTCTCAGGCTTTTTGTAGGACTTGTAATAATGTGTCACTTTGCCTATATAAGAGTAGTCATAATTTCAGTTCATTTTGGTAATAGGTCCAGAGTTTAATTGAACTGTAACTATAATTTTGAACATTGTTTAAAAATATGTACTATGCTATTATATGTCAATTATATTTTAATAAAATTGTTATAAAACAAAATAGGTGCTATATGTAGATGATCTTGACCACTTGGAGCTTATATCACTGCAAGCAGATGTCCAAAAAGAAGCCATCTTTCAAATGACTTGAATTATATATAAATATTAACTAAAATGATTTATGTTAACCCATTGTATGCCATAAGCCTCTGTAGATGCAAGCAGTGTACCTTTCCCACACGCCACGCATGTCTATAAAAAAATGTTTTCCCTAAGTGGCAGTCCTGACCAACTTTAAAATCATTTTTTGTGAGAATGTTCAGCTGAAAATATTCAAGAATATCCGAATTGTGAGTAATATATTTATTTTTATAATATCATTGCAAATTGATTTTTTAAATTAAATTCAAATTATTGTGGCGTGTGGGGATGGTTTCCGTTTTGGATGCATAGCAGTTAACTGGTTAAATCTAAAGGGAACCTGAAGTGATATTTCAATAGCCAGGGCATTTGTTCAGTCTTGTTCAACATCAGGATTATTGTTTGAGAAACAGAAAGATCTTAATTATCAAGAATGTTTTAGGAACTGGACGTTTTGGATGCTGTTTTATTTATTTACTAGAGGTCCGGTGCATGAAATTTGTGCGTGGGTACAGTCCCTAGGCCTGGCCTGTGATCAGGGCCATCTTCCTCAGCTGCCTGCAGCCAGCCCTGCCCCCTGCCACCACCCACCACCAGTTTCCCGTTTGCCATCAGGTGATCAGAGCCTGCCGGCTGAAGGGAGGGACTGAGAGGTCGGCCGTTCTGCCTGCTCACCTGCTCCACTCCCCGCTGCCACCCCCCCCCCCCCCCACCAGATCCCCATTTACCATCGGGTGATGGGAGCCTGCTGGCCGGGGAAAGAGACCAAGAGGTGGTCAGTGTGCCTCATAGTGACTGCTTGAGTAGTTGTTCTGGTCATTCTGCCTTTAGGGTCAATTTGCATATTACCCTTTTATTATATAGGATTTTTTATAATTGCATGTTAAAATTTTAATCACCAAAACTATGGGGGGAAATGTGCCTCTAATTTTATGACAGCTCTATTGAGATATAATTCACGTACCATAAAATTCACCCTTGTAAAGTATACACTTCAGTGATTTTTAATATATTTACAGAGTTGTGCAACCATCACCACAATTAAGCCATGCCTTTTTAAAGGAAATCTTTACAAATTGTGATGTTTGTATCCAAAACAGACCATTTTGAACATAATTTCTTAAAGTTCATTTGGACTTTGCTTTTACTTTTATAAATAAAAAGACCAGCCCAAATCACCTTTAGATTTAAGTCCCACTTATATTTAGTGGGGATATATTTATTTGGTTCTAGTTATAGTTTATAATAGACTGTCAAGCATGAGGATTGATGATCTTGCTCCCTTCAGTCTCTGAAGTTACAATTATCATCAAAACTGAGTTCTTCACTTTTTTTGAATTGTAAAATTAATAGTGCACAACGTGGATTTAGCCATTTCCTCTATCCATTTGAACTTATGAATGGTAAACTCCAAATAATATCTTTAATAAGTATTTTAATATAAAGTGAGGTTATTCAGAAAGAATGACCTACTAGAGGCCCAGTGCATGAAATTCGTGCACGGGGGCGGGGGGTTACCCTCAGCCCAGCCTGCACCCTCTAAGATCTGGGACCCCTCGGGGGATGTCCGACTGCCGGATCGGGCCTAAACCGGCAGTCGGACATATGTCTTATGATCCAGGACCACTGGCTCCTAACTGCTTGCCTGCCTGCCTGGTCACCCCTAACTGCCCCCCCTCCCCCGCCAGCCTGGTCGCCCCTAACTTCCCTCCTCGCCGGCCTGGTTGCCCCTTACTGCCCCCCCCTGCCAGCCTGGTCACCCCCAATTGCCCCTGCCCTGGCCTACTCACCCCTAACTGCCCCCCCCCCCCCCCCCCCGCCGGCCTAGTTGCCCCACGCAGCTTGCTGCTTGGTCGTTTGGTCACCCCTCACTAACCCCCCTGCTGGCCTGGTCATCCCACAGGCCTGCTGCTTGGTCGTTTGCCACTAACCCCCTTGCCGACCTGGTCGCCTTACGCAGCCTGTTTGGTCGTCCGTTCGTTTGCAATGGTCGCTTAGGCTTTTATATATATAGACATATATAGATTATTCAGAATGGATGTTCTGTTATACTGGCTTTAGGGAGGCTAAGCTAGAAGTGATAAACAGCAGTTTTGAAGTTAGCCCTTCCTGTACAGAGAGTTGGCACCAGGAGTATAATGCCAAATATAGACAGAAAGACAAGAGCTAAAAACTCATTTTGTATGTACTTCTTTCTCCCTCCTTCCCAGAGTGATGAGAACATGTCTTAGAATTTTGTTTTGTTTTTATTTTAAGCTAGAAATGTAGTTAGGAATTGCTGAATTTTAGTTTTCTTACCTCTTTATTATAGCCTCTGACTGGTTAAGAAAGAAACTTAGAGTTTTGCCATTAATCTTACAGCATTGCATGCTGCTGTGTGTTGCAGAAATGCCTTGTTTGTCAACTTTTAGGCTCTGTTTACTGAATTTTTAGCTCTTTAATTCTCCTCCCCAGGGCTTTTGTGCTGAACTAAAATATATAATTATCTTCCCTAGCATGTTGTTTTTAACAACACGTTGCAGAGTGCAAGCACTGGCAAATCTGACATTTTCTTTAAATTCATTAGAGTTACTCTCACTTTATGTTTCTTACAGTAAAGCTTCATTAATTTCAGTTTCTTTTACTTGGCTAGTAATTTGTAATCACAAACATGTGATGGATTATTGATTAAAATGAAACTAACATGAAAAATACTCTGATAAATATGAAGCAAAGGGGGAAATGATGCAGAAATTACATTTGTGGATATGAAATAAAAAGGATATGGACCCTGCTTCTCCCTCTCCCCCACCCCCGGATATTGCAAATACTGTTTGTTGAAAAGTGGCTGTGGTTCTGATGAGTTGCAGCTAGTCTGTTTATTGTCTGCCCCTTCCAGGACTTATAAAGGGACAAGACCCTATCCCACTCTGTTCAGAATCTGTCCTGACCTTTTTGTGGAACTTGTCATGAGAGTCCTCACCTGTGGATGAACCATTTGCACTTTTCACAATTGACATGATACACATCTAAAGAGATTATACATTTAGTAAAAAAATAAAGAATACTGACAGGTATATAGGACTAGCATAGTTTTTGTATTAAAAAAAAAAAAAAGGCATGAGCCCATTGTGGCTCAGTGGTTGAGTGTCAACCTGTGACCTGGGAAGTCACGTGGTTCAATTCTGGTCAGGGCACATGCCCAGGTTGCAGGCTCGATCCCCAGTGTGGGACTTGCAGGAGGCAGCCAATGAGTCTCTGTCATCATTGATGTTTCTATCTCTCTCTCCCTCCTTTCCTCTATAAAATCAATAAAATAATTTTTTTAAAAAAGGAATGAATGAATTAGTGAATGATTCAAGGCAATACAATGCATAAATGAAAACTTGGAAAGCATTTAATTTTGTCATTCATCAGAGAGTTGAAAACAGTGATGTTCAATTTACACTTATTAAATTATCTGGGGGCAGGGGGAACAGTTGTCTGGTGAAACTGGTATTATTATACATTGCTGGTAGCAGTGTAAATTGGTACTGTGGTGCTTTTTGAAGATAATTTAGTAATACATTTCAAGTGCCACACAATTTTTTTCATATCTTTTAACTAGAGATAGAATTCTAAAAGTAGTATGACTAGGGCATTAAGCTCCTCAGATGGTAAAGTCTATATATGTAGATGTTCATTGTGGCATCTCTCATAATATTAAAATACTGGAAATAAGTGATAAAGCCATCAATACAGGGATAGTTAAGGAAATTCTGCTGTTTTAGCACATTGAACCATTGTGAATTAGGATGGTCATTTTAAAAGTAGGTAGCAACTTAGAATAATGCTTATATAATGTTATATGAAAACAATTTTTAAAAAAAGAAAATAGAATTTAGAATTATACCTATGAAGGGAATAACTAAAAGTATTAATGGACTATTTGCAGAAGAAATATGAATGAGTGGATGAAATATAATTACTGAGTATAGTGGCATTTAGATTAATTTCAAAAACTTGTTTCTGCAATAAAATTATTTCCAGACATATTTTTAAAGTATTGTACATTTTCTACTTCTATCATCACTGCCTAACTCCTTTGGGAAGCCAATGTTAAGAACTAGATAAAAAAGCAAGTTGCCTCTGAAGATCAGCTAGGAATATTTAGATACCATAGAAGAAGAAGAGATAACTTGTGAATAGTCCTTTTTGACTTTATCCTATTTCATCATGTTCACTACACTATCTGCTCCCATGTGTTGTTGTCTTTCCGAAGCATTGTGCCATAATAGACTCAGACAGGATTTAGGCGGGAAAGCTGAGTTCCCATTCTGACTCTATCACTTGTCAGCTATGTGCCTTTCAGCAAATAATGTAACTTACTCACCTTTTCTTATTTGTAAAAGAAGTATTGGGAGAATTAAGATTATATATATGTACACACACACACACGTGTGTGTGTGTGTGTGTGTGTGTGTGTGTGTACATATATTAAGGTTTTCATAATATAAAGACCCATGCAAATATTGTTACTGTTTTTAATAAACTTTTGTAAGTTGAAATAGAAAAAAGAGGATATATTTAGCAGATTGGATTTAATGGATGTTTGGAATGTTCCTAAAAGTTTGTATGTCTTTTTCTTTCTGTTATAGAGATCTTTTATTTAGCCAGATGTATGACAAATTAAGTGAGAATTCAGTGGCCAAAGGAGTGTTTTTGGAGTGCCTTGAGCCATATATTTTAAGTGATAAATTGGTGGGGATCACACCCCAGGTAATGAAAGACTTGCTTGTTCATTTCCAAGATAAAAAGTTAATGGAAAATGTGGAAGCTCTCATTGTACATATGGATATCACCAGCTTAGATATTCAGCAGGTGAGTTTATAGACAGTCTACTAACTTATAGATTAAACATCATTCCTTTATTGATTATACAGGGTGGGGCAAATGTAGGTTTACAGTTATATGCAAAATAGTTTATTCTTGTACTATTATTTATTAATCATTGTATTATTTTCTATACAAATAACTATAAACCTACTTTTGCCCAACCCTTGTTTACCTGACTGATTGGACCTCACTCTGCCATCTGTCAACCCCGTTTACTTACTGAGCACTCTTGCTATGATGTCTTATAAACTTCTATTTGTCAGTATGTTTCTTAGGACTGTTCTTTATTGACTGGTCTTTCTTTATCTATTTGTTAACGACTACAGTTTTCATCCTGCAAGTGTATTTCAACTGAGTACTTTCACATGAATAATAAAATATTTTTACTTTAAGAGTATGGTGCTATTTTTTAAAAATAAAAGATAGTTTCTGAGTCCAGAGTTGATAATTATCATGCATTGAGTTTTGAAATAGTATAAGAAGCAAAGTACAGGACATCTCAGAATGACCTGCTATCTTGTTGTTTGATAATATGTTTCCAGTATATCTGAGGTTTCTATAACAAGTTTTCAGCCCTTAATTGAGGAGCAGTATGTATTCTGGCCTAAGATGTTTCACAATTTACCTCTTTATTCCCACATTAGTCCTAATAATGAACATGCTGCTCCTGCAAAGGCACAAAGTTGCTAAGCCACTAAGCCCTGTTAAACTAAAATAAGGGTAACTTACAAAGATCTTAGATAGGCCAAAAGTTTTCTTTTAATGTGCAAAATTACATAGAAATGAAGGGTTTAGAGAAATGGTTATTGTTTCCTTCCTGGAAGCTCTTTATGAATGGCTGTGAGTAAAGAGTAAAGTAAAACCAGATCCTCCGTTATATATGCCTTTGTATTATATGGGTAATTTGGCATAGTATTTACAGTCTGATAATTGGTCTGGTGGTTTGAGAGCATGTTATCAGCCTAGCTTTACCTATCACAATATAGGAGAAATTTCTCTTTCTAACATTTAAGCTTTCCCCCAATACTATGTAAATAAATTCTAATCTTTTTCACGTTAAAACAATCAAAAAATTTCTCCTTCAGTTTCCTTTTTCTCCATATCAGTCCTGCTTTCCTTCTTCCCTGAGGTTACCCCATCTCATTCTTCCCAGTCACTGATTTCTTGAAAGCATTGTCTAAATTGCTATTTCCATTTTTTTATATTCTAATAACTTCAACTTTGCTTTCACCACAGTTAGCAATGACTTCCATGTCCACCATATCAACTGATATTTTTCATGTTTTATTTACTCTTTCAGATGAACAGCATTTTGTTCATTAATTCAAGGAGCATTTATTGAATGTGAGGTTCTAAGGACGTTTTTTGGACCCTAGTGGACAAGGCTTGCCCTCTGTTAAGGCTTACATTTTAGCAAAAAGTTAGACAATTAGCAGATAAGTAAACAAATTAGAAATATCCAAAATCAAGTGTTATATTAAAAGTCAAACAGGCAATCTTGTAGGGAGAGAATAGTCTACTTTAGATTGGCTAATTATAGAAAGACTTTCTGAGGAAGCAACCTTGAGTGGTTCTGAAGGACAAGAAGGAATCACTAATGTAAAGATCTTGGAGAAGAAGATTGCAATAGGTAAAAGCAACAGCTAATGAAAAAAATATTTTTATGTGTGCCTTAGGGGTTAAAGTAACAGATAAAAGGCAAACAGAGTTGGAGACTCTTTGAAAGAGAGAGGTAGACCTTTCAGGGCAAAGTAAAAGTTTTAAGCAAGATTCTCTGGTTTGCTTTAGGAGTAACAGAAGAAGGGGTGAGGGCTAAGGACAGAAGAAGCAAGGAGACTAGTTAGGAGCTGGTCCAGGAGGTGGTCCTGGCCAAAGATGGTAGCAGTGAGATGGAGAGAGAGGGCCTGGTTTTGGATGTTTTGGAGGTACAACTGTTTTGCTGATGAATTGGGTGGCGGTGGTTGGGGGAGGGGGAAATTTAAGGATGATGTCTAGTTTTTTGGCTTGAGAAACAGTAGTGATTTATTTAAGAAGTTTGGAAGATTGGTGTAGGTCTAGGGTTGGGAGACAAAAATCAGGAATTCTGTTTTGCAATTTTATTTTGAGGTAGCTACTAGATATTCAGGTGAAAATAGCAGTAAGTGATGAGATATATGGTTCAGAGGTTGGATTAGGACTGAAGCTGTAAATGTGCTAGTCATCAGTAGAGATCATGGTACTGGCTGAGAGGAGGGTAGTCAGGGAAGAGAACCTGCCTTTGTCTAGAAAGGCTCTCCCATTACACCTCACTTGGATTTTTACTCTTACCTTTCTGCTACCCCTTATCATTCATTCTCTTTTGCCGACCTCTACTCTTCTACTCCAGCCCTCTCCTCATCACTCAGTAGGATAGTACGACTCTCATAGGAACAGAATACAGAGTACTCTATACTTTAGTCATCTTTATTCCTCTTCCTAAATATTTTCTCAAATTGATTTCTCTCCATTCTTAAACATTTCAAATTCCTTACTATTTCTGCCTGCAGAGTTCCCAGTTTCCACCTGTGCCTTTGGCTCACATACATGCATCCTTTTTGTCCTACCTTAAATGTTGCTCCTTTAGGGATGACTTCCTGAATACTCCAGACCAAACCAGGTTCCTTTATTGCACTTATCACAGTTGTATAATTGTGATATGAATTATTTGTCTACTTGAGTATCTTCCCTAAGTCATAGCTCACATACCATTTGGTGCCCCCCACTTCTTTTAGTTAGTGTCTGAGATGATTGGAAGATCTGTAAGGGTGGGGACTAGGTCCATCCCTTTACCCCCAGTGCCTAGAAGAGGACCTGCTTGTAGTTGTTCAGCAAATATTTGTAGTCCTATTGACCAAAGCTAAAATGAATATGGAAAAGGTGAGAATAGAGACAAAATAAAATTAGGTATTGGAAGATGTTTAGAAATAGTTCTTATACTATTAATAGTAGTATTGAACCTACAACAGCTCTTATCAGGGCCTGTGTTTGAGTACTTCAGTTTCAATTTTTTTGCAGAGAAGGAATTAGAAAAATTAGGGAGGAGAATTCAAGATCTTCTCCATTCTTAGAGGTTTAAGGGTAATAATTGGTTAGACTTATTCAATTGTATCGACCAAGCAACTTTTCCTTTTTACAGGTAGTTCTCATGTGTTGGGAAAATCATCTATATGATGCCATGATCTATGTTTACAACAGAGGCATGAATGAGTTTATTAGTCCAATGGAGGTAAGATACTTCCTATCTTGAACACATATTTAACACTTGGGTTGCGGGAAACGAGTTAAGTCGGCTCGCGTGAATTGCGCGTACTCCGCGGGAGCCGTCTTAAACTCGGTTCATATAGATTTGCGGTGGAGTGCGGGAAACGTGTAAACTCGGGTTGATTGTAACTGCGTATTACCAAATATTTCATTTCAATCGAACCCATACTTCAAAAGATATAGGCATTTTAACGCGCCATCTTATATTTTGGCGGGAAATTCACCCGACACCGTAGTGTTAATATTGTCTTTTAGTGTTTTTTCCCTATTTTATATTTTCTTTGAATAGTTTCTGTTTTCATAGAATAATTTTTAAAATTTCTTTTAGATTAGGCTTGTAGCCATTTGCGAATTTGTTAAGTACCCTTTAATTTCACATTTTCTTCCATTGCTTTTTTATATCTGCATAAGTATTTAAATATCAGGGAATAATCCTATATAATAAAAGGCCAATATGCAAATTGACCGAACAGCAGAACAAACCGGTCGCTATGACATGCACTGACCACCAGGGGGCAGTCACTCAATGCAGGAGCTGCCCACTGGTGGTCAGTGTGCTCCCACAGCACTAAGGATGTCTGACTGATGGCTTAGGCCCGCTCCCTCTGGAGTGGGCCTAAGCCATCAGTTGGACATCCCCCAAGGGCTCCTGGACTGCGAGAGAGCACAGGCCAGGCTGAGGCATCCCCCTCCCCCCTGAGTGCAAGAATTTCATGCACCGGACCTCTAGTATCTTATATAATAAAAGCCTAATATGCTAAGTGTCCGGTCATTCAGTCGTCCGGTCAACCAATCAAAGTGTAATATGCTAATGATATGCTAAGGCCACTCAACCACTCGCTCTGACGTGCACTGACCACCAGGGGGCAGACAGTCGACCAGTCGCTATGATGTGCACTGACCACCAGGGGGCAGATACTCCAACTGGTAGATTAGCTTGCTGCTGGGGTCCGGCCTTTAGGGACTGAGCGAGACGGGATGGACATACCCTGGAGCCCTCCTGCGGTGCCTTCCCCAGCTGGCCAACCTCCCGTGTCCCTCTCTGGCCCTGATCGTGCACCAGTGGGGTCCCTCAGCCTGGCCTGCACTCTCATAATCCGGGACCCCTCGGGGGATGTCAGAGAGCTGGTTTCGGCCCAATCCCACAGGCCAGGCTGAGGGACCCCACTGGTGCATGAATTTGTGCACCAGGCCTCTAGTAGAAAATAAAAAGTAATGCATGCCTGTTAGACTTTTTTTCTGAAGAATCTTTTGATATTATAATAGCTTTTCCAAAAGGTATAAGAAATATATTATTGTTATTGTATATAATAAATGTACTATTGAGTAATATTATTTGTAGATATAGTCTGCTGGGGAAGTTCCTGAAAATGTTGAGAGGTAATTATGTGTTAATTGCTGGTTTGTTGCTTTTCCAAGTTCAGAATTTTGTAGCATTCATTATGTAAGTATAATTTCTTATTCTCCTTACCGACAGAAAAGAGCATCTAAAGAGCATTTTAAAAAGAAAAACACACACACCCATATCCTCCTTGTTATTTGCTTTATATTTGAAGACAGAATTGTGGATAATGTAATGTGTCCTGCCGGCCCATTGCTTTATTACAGTGACTAATCGCCTGGCTCAGAAGAGCCAGGCATCTGCTGAAGGCATCCAGTCAACTTTTTTTCATACTTAATGGCCATGCAAAACTATCTTCAGTATTATTAAGTCAGCAGTAATTCCATGATAATTCAGTCTTCTTTAAATGCATTTAGCTTGCTGGGTATCCCTCTCATTCATAACTCCTTCAGTTTTGGATGCACCTCTTTTCTTGGTCAGTTTTCCAAATGAGAGCCACAGCTCTCTTCCTCAGCTTTTGACCCTGATTGTGTGTCAGATAAGTATTTTTTATTCTTAACACCTATCAGCTGCTTCCTCACCCAGAGAAAGAACCATCAGCTGCCTACTCAGTGAGGTCCAGAGACGCCCTGCCTGCAGAACTGTTCTCTGTCCCACTACTAAACCATAATTAGGAAGGATTAATGCAGTTCCTACTTTCAAAATAAGTCCTTAAAGCAGATTCTAATTTGATGCATTCTATGTTGAAAAAAATGATTGGTGGTTTTTTGTTATTGTTGCTTTTGAAGTTTTTGTTTTATGTGGGTTTTTTATTCAAAATCTGGTTTGCATTTATACCTGTGTATCTCACATGGCACACTGAGGTTGCCTTTTTTTGTGTTAAGAGTAGTTTTCAAGTTTAATGACTGTCATCAGGAGCTCGGTACTTGTTATTAAATAGTCATTTAGAGATTTTAGCAGTGGGAGGTTAGATGCATTTTATTATTTCTTTTATAATTCTCTGCCAATAAGAAAATCTCTTTTCAGTCCTTAAAGTTTAGTTATTTTAGTACTTACAAAGGTCTAAATTAAAGGGAGTTGTCCTGTCTTTTGAAATTTTGTAGAATGAAGGACAGTCATCAAATTTGAGATGGCTACTATAGTCTCAAATCTTTTTTTAGTTCTAGTTGTGGTTGCTTCTGGAGTAAAAGTAGTGCCTTGTATTGAGAGGAAAACCTCCTCTATCAACTTAGGTCCCATTGGTGGGGGAAAGCTGTGAATTTACTGATAATAGTCAGATTAATAGGAGAAAAGACAAGATTTATTCACTTGTGTACTGGCAGCTTACAGTGATGAGTAACTCACTGAATAGCCAGTAGTAAAAGTTTATATACCAGTTTAACAAAATGTTCTGTGGGGAGAGATTTAGGGCTTTATGGAGAAGTATGGATGGTTTTATTGGGCTTTTTGGTGTTAATATAGAGCTGCATTTGCATTTTCCAGTGCTAAGGGTCAGTCTTCTCCCAAAGAGAAAACTCTCTTCCGGAAGGCCAGTTAGTTTTGCCATTAATCTTGTATTTTCAGAGGCTCTGTTTGAATTTAGGTAGTGTTTCTGTCTGTGGCTGCTGATCGTTCAGATGATTTCAGTTTAAAGTAATCTTCATTACCATTTTGGTGGGTTATTAATCCCTTCACTTGCTTACTGTTTTTTTTAAGAAAGCTAAGGATATCTTATATAAGAAATTATAATCGCAACAAAGACCTTCATCAAACTGATGTTTATTAAATGGTTTCTTTCAGTGAGGAATATGACAATGACTGTTTCCCAGTGATCCTTCTAAAACAGTTCATGTCCACATTAAAAGTTTTTATAGTTAATTTCAATAGTATATGACTGTCTAATTCAGTCAGAGAAAGATGATTAATAGCATAAGATTTGTGATTATCTTTTAAAAAATACTCTTCTTGAAAAATGATGGTGATTGTTTTCCTACTTCATTTTTATGCAGAAACTTTTCAAAGTCATTGCTCCTCCTCTGAATGCAGGAAAGACACTAACAGGTATTTTCTAATCTTCTTTTTTTTTTCCTTTTCTTGTATTTTAAGATATTATTTAAATATCATAAAATTCACCAATTTTATGTGTACAGCGTAATATTTGGTAATTGTACATAATCATGTAACTGCCACCATAATGAAATTTGTAGTGAGAACTATGTATAGTTTCTTCACACTAAAAAGTTTCCTCCTGCCCTTTTGTGCTCTATCCTTTGCCAGCAGTCCAACCTAGACAATCACCGATTTACTTTCTGTCACATATTTCATGTAAATAGATCCTACAGTATGTTATTTTTGATGTTGTATTTCTTTCATTTAGCATAATGTTTGGAGATTCACCCATGTTATTGCATGTATGAATATTTCATTCCCTTTTACTGCTGAATGGTATTTCATGAATTGGATATACCATCATTTGTTTATTCATTTACCAGTTGATAGGCATTTGAGTTGCTTCCAGTTTGGAGCTATTATAAGTAATGCTACAACATTTGTGATGAAATTTTTTAAAATATATTTTATTGATTTTTTACAGAGAGGAAGGGAGAGAGATAGAGAGTTAGAAACATCGATGAGAGAGAAACATCGATCAGCTGCCTCCTGCACATCTCCTACTGGGGATGTGCCCGCAACCCAGGTACATGCCCTTGACCGGAATCGAACCTGGGACCTTTCAGTCCGCAGGCCGACGCTCTATCCACTGAGCCAAACCGGTTTCGGCTGAATTTTGTTTTTTATTAAACTTTTTATTGTAAGGAAATTAGAGATTCACATGCAGTTGTAAGAAATGAGACAAGAGATCCTGTGTACTCATTACCATTTCCCAATGATAACATTTTGCAAAACTAAAGCACCGTATCACAACCAGATATTCACATAAAGTCAAGATATAGAACGGTTTCATCACTATGTGGTATCCGGTATGTTGCCCTATCCCACATCGCTGATCCCTACCTGTAAATAAATTTTTGTGTGGGCATATGTGTTCATTTTCTTGGGCAACTGCAGTTTTGGAATGTTCATTGCTAGTGTATAGAAATGAAATTGATTTTTTGTATATTGATCTTATCTCCTGCATTCTTGCTGAATTCATTTATTCTAATTTTTAATGGAGTTTTTAGAATTTTCTAAATATATAAGATCATGTCAGCTGTAGAGGTAGTTTTACCTCTTCCTTTCTCATATGCACTTCTTTTATTTTTTTTTTTCTTCCCTAATTGGCTTCGCTAGAATTTCCAGTATAGTGTTTGACAGAAATAGCAAGAATGACTATTCTTATCTTTTTCCTAACCTAAGGGGGAAAGAATTTGGTCTTTTGTCATTAAATGGGATGTTGACTGTGGGTTTTTTGGAGATGGCCTTATCAGCTTGAGGATGTTTCCTTCTGTTCCTAGTTTGTTGAGTGTCTTTAACATGAAAGAATTGAATTTGATCAAAGGTTTTTCCCTGCATCTATTAAGGTAATCTTGTGGGTTTTGTCCTTTGTTGATATGGTCTATAAGATTCATTGATTTTTATGTGTTAAACAAATCTTACATTCTTGGGATAATCCCACTTGGTCATGATGTATACTTTTTTTTACTCGTTGCTGGATTGAGTTTGCCAGTGTTATCTTTTGAGTATTTTTATGTCTATATTCATAAGGGATATTGTTCTGTAGTTGATTTTCTTCTCATATTTTTTGCTAGTCTTGGTATAAAGTATATTTGATATTTTGTTATACTTGCCTCTTAGAATGAATTGGGAAGTGCCCTCCTGTTTTTTGGTTTGTGATTTTAAGAGTTTCTGAAGGATTGGCGCTCTTTCAGTGTTTGGTAGAGTTCATTAATAAAGCCATGTGGACCAGGGATATTCTTTTTGGGAAGTATTAAAATTACTAATTTAGTCTCTGCTTGTTAAGTCTATGTAGATTATCTATTGCTTCAGTTTGGAAGTTTGTGTACTTGGAATTTGTTCATATTATATGTGTTATCAAATTTATTGGTGTATATTGTCTAGGGCAGTGGTCGGCACACCGTGGCAAGGCAAACCACGGCTTGCGAGCCACATGAGGCTCTTTGGCCCCTTGAGTGTGGCTCTTCCACAAAATACCGGCTCTTCCACAAAATACCGACTTCTGCGCATGGGCCACGAAGTTTCAGTCGCACTGTACGTGCACACCCGCATGTGGTATTTTGTGGAAGAGCCACACTCAAGGGGCCAAAGAGCTGCATGTGGCTCGCGAACTGCGGTTTGCCGGCCACGGGTCTAGGGTATTCTCTTGTCATTTATTTCTGGAAGGTCAGCAGTGATATCTCTTATTAATGATTTTTGTAATTTGAGTCTTCTCTCCTTTTCTTGGTCTGTCTAGCTAGGTTTGTCAATTTTGTTAGTTTTTTAAAAAAAACAATTATGATTTTATTGATGTTCTTTATTTTTCTTTCCTCTCTCATTTATTTCAGTCTTTATTTATTTTATTTTGGTTTTAATTTGGAAAATGGTACCACTACTGTGGAAAACATTTTGGTGATTTCTTACAAAAGTAAACGTGTTCTTACCATATGATCTAGCAATTGCTCTCTTTGGTATTTACCCAAAGGAGTAGAAAACTTATGTCTGCACAAAAACTGCATACAGATGTTTATAGCAGCTTTCTTCCTAATTACCAAAATTTTCAAGCAATCAAGTTGTTTTTTAGTAGATGAATGGATGAATAAACTGTGGTATATCCAGACAATGGAATATTATTCAGTACTAAAAAGAAATGAGCTATCAAGCCATGAAAAAACATGGAGGAAACATATGCATATTACTAAGTGAACGAAGCCAATCTGAAAAGGTTACCTACTGTATGATTCCAGTTATGTGAATTGTGGAAAGGCAAAATTATGGAGACAGTAAAAGGATCAGTGTTTGCTAGAGGTTAGTGGGGAGGGAGGGAGAGATGAGTAGGTAGACCTTGGGATTTTTAGGACAGTGAAACTATTCTGTCTGACACTATATTGGTGGATACATGTCATTATATATTTGTCAAAGCCTATAGAATGTGCACCACAAGAGTGAACCTTTCTGTAAAATATGGACTTTAGATGATAATGATGCATCAATGTAGGTTCATTGATTATAAGAAACATAGCACTCAGGTGTGGGATGTTGATAGTGGGGGTGATTGTGTGGTATGGGGATATGGATAGGGGTATATGGGAATCTCTATGCCTTCCTCTCAATTTTGCTGTAAACCCAATTAAAACTTCTCTAAAAATAAAGTTTATTAACTTAAGTTAAATTAAATTTGAATTGAAGCAGGATAAAATAATTCATTTAATTTTGAGCAATTCGAGTTTATTTGCACTTAACATAGATTTGGAGTATTTATAAAGGATTACTGGTTAAAGAAGAGATATACACTTGTATTCTGTCTAGTATTCATATATCAAAAATAGAAACTTCAGCTTGTCATTTATTACCAACCACAAATTCCTATAATCTGCACACCACAAGAGTTACTGATCACTTCACTCAGTGTTGGTGCTCCTACTCTATTCTGTTGCCCATGACTCCTTGGCGTAAAACTTGGCCTAATTATATTTCCAATTTATTTTAATCAAGAAATAGGTGTATATTACCAGATGACAGACTCTTACACTTTAGACATAACTTAGAATACAAAGGGTCCTAAAGATCATTTAGTCAGTATCTCAAACATTTGTGAGCCGTGGCCTTCTCAGCCCTAGAGCACCATAGGTGGTAAGAGTCCCGTTACAAATGAGAAGATGTTAAGATGCCTTAATATTAATTGGTCATGACCTATAATTCAACTTGTTGCCTGCTCTACACCTTCCCCTGGTCCAAAGCTATTGGTAAAGCCAACAATACATAGATCTCTACCCTCAGTCCATTTCTTCTATATGCATCCTTGAATGACTCATTGATTTTGTGTCTGTGAAAAGATTCTAATGGGAATTCTAAAAATAATAAAGTGGTCTTATCTCAGTTTTCTGTTACTTGTGGATATACTTACTTTACCTTAAATGCCAGGTTTTATTTTTTTGTTTCCACATAACGATTATATTGCTGAAAACGTTTTGAGAGAGAATTGCTGATGATAAATTTTCTATTTTAGATGAACAAGTTGTTATGGGCAACAAGCTTCTTGTATATATTAGGTAAGATATTTTTTTTATCTATTATGATCCTATAATTTCCCCCTATATTCTTAAAGGTACTGTCATCTCTTATCTATGTAGGGCTTTTCATTTTTCATTGCTCTTTCATGTATAGCACTGCTTCTCAACCATGATTGAGTTTGTCCCCTCATGCACCCTGCCCCCACCGCAAGTCATTTGGCAATGTCTGGAGACATTTTTGTTTGTCACAACTGAGACTGGGGGAGAGATGCTACTGGCATTTAGTGGGTAGAAGCCAGGGAAGCTCCTAAATATTCTACAATGTATAGGGTAGTCCCCACAACAAAAAATTATCTCTCTCAATAGGGTTGAGGTTAAGAAACCATGATGTAGAGTACTTTACTTTTCTACCTACACCTTTCTGGGATATGTATTGTCTATATTATATGTCAGGGCAAGAGATTTAAATCATGAAAAAGTTAGTGACAAAGGTAAAACTGCTGCTGGAACAGAGTTCTTTGCAATAGACTATGTAGGCTCAGAATTGTGTCCTGATGGAATTTTTAGGTGGATAACTTGCCGCCAGGTGGCAGGCAGGCAGGGAGGTGCAGAACCTGCCAGAGCATCACTGTAGCTCCTATCCAGTGTCAGAGTTAAATTTGAGACCTTTTTCATACTTTAAACTTCTTAGAATATGCTGGTATCCAGCTGTCTCTAATCTAATACTCAAAGTTGATGACTAGTTTAAAGAGGTTTAAAATTCACACCCCTCCCTCAAACCCCCACACATACCAAAAAACAATCCAGAAAAAAATGAGGGCATATTCGAAGACATTTTGTATTTCAGCCTACAAGCCAAGTCATTAGCCATAGGGAAGTCTGATTTGGAGGTAAAACTGTATACTTAATTTCTCATGAGATTCTAACTCTCCCTGAAGGCTTGTCTAATTGTAGACATTTTCCAGACATGTCTTAGCCTAGCTCATTCCCCATCTTTAATCACCATTCTTAGAGCCACTGGTTTAAACGCCTCTGAGAAAATCAGGCTTCTAACAGGGAAATCATAGTTTAATGGCACCATTAAGTTTTTTTGTAGATGCTCAGTATGTGACTTTTAGACAGTCTCTTTTCCTTCTCACCTCTTTAGCGAAAATAAGAAGAAATGTGATTTAGTCACAGATGTGTTACTTCACCACCATCCCTGTCCCCCACATTTTCTGAACTGGCTACCATCTTGATCTGGGTTTGAACTAGACCTGGGTTTGAACTAGACCTAACTGACAAAAGCTGAGCCTACTTAAAATCAAACTAGTATCTTGGTTTTGAGAAACAATGTTACCTGGAAGTTAGCCCATTACAAGTCACCACATCTGTTCTCGTTCTTTTCTTCTAGCTGTTGTCTAGCAGGTCGTGCCTATCCCCTTGGTGACATCCCTGAAGATCTTGTTCCTTTGGTTAAAAACCAGGTTGGTGCTATTTTCACAGCATTTTTATCATCTACGCCTCTTGTTAAGGTGCGCTAAAGACAATTGTATTGAGTGTTACACCTGGGGCAGGAGCAATCTATTAGCTGTAATAGGAGAGCCTACTCACTGTTACTGAAACCAATAATTATAGCTATAGAAGTTATAACATAGTGGCACTTTAGAGTAAATTCAACCTGCCTTCAGTTTATCCAAATGGGAATCAATGCTTCAGCAAGATACTTTGCAAGGTGAGAAAATAATCAACTTTTTTCCCTCCACCTTGGCAGGTTTTTGAATTTCTAATTCGCCTGCATTCAGCAGAAGCTTCCCCTGAGGAAGAAATCTATCCCTATGTTCGGACTTTGCTTCATTTTGACACAAGAGAATTTCTAAATGTATTGGCACTGGTAAGATAATATGATTTTAAGGTGTTTTAAAAGCCAGGTGATAACATTTTTAAAATAGAAAGAAAGACAGATAATAATCCTTATGCAGGTACTATTTTTATGCCCTGGCAGTAAGTCAAGGTTTCAGGTGTTAAATTTTGTTATGTCATCCAATATTTCTAATTCTTTATCTCCCTTCCTTTCTTCTCCCTCTTCTTTCCTTCCTTTCCTCTTCTTCTTCTGCCTTCTCTCTCTCCTATTTTTAACACATTCTTATCAAAAAGTTGAAAAAAGCAGGGTTAAATGTGGTACATTTTTTATTTCATAAGTTATATTAGTTGCATACTAAACATGGAAGAAGGATCTAAAGGAAATGTGGTGGTGATGATAGTTGAAATAGAACATGAAGCCCTAACCGGTTTGGCTCAGTGGAGGGAGCGTTGGCCTGCAGACTGAAAGGTCCCAGGTTCGATTCCGGTCAAGGGCATGTACCTTGGTTGCGGGCACCATGTACCTTGGTTGCGGGCACATCCCCAGTAGGAGGTGTGCAGGAGGCAGCTGATCGATGTTTCTCTCTCATTGATGTTTCTGACTCTCTATCCCTCTCCCTTCCTCTCTGTAAAAAAAATCAATAAAATATATTTTTTTTAAAAAGAAAGAAATAGAACACAGATATTTCCTGCTGGAAAAAAAAATCTTTATACATGTTTAATTAAACTTGGATTTGAGTGAACCAGGTTTCTGTGAAAATGCCCCCAGCAGAATCTATACATATGAAAGCCTAAGTAACCAGCCGATTGGCTGACCTGCTAGCAGGCAGCTATGACGTGCACTGACCACCAGGGGGCAGACACTCAATGCAGGAACTGCTGAGCTGTGGTGACTTGGCAGCTGGTTCTCGGTTGACGCACCCGGAACCAGAGAGGAGGGAGCCCAATTCTGGGGTGCGTCACCCGAGAACCGCCCTCTCGCAATCTGGGACCCCTCAGGGGATGTCAGCCAGTTTCAGCCCGATCCCCGCAGGCCAGGCCGAGGGACCCCAGTAATTATATAAAACATATATCTTCCCCAAAAATAGTATTATAAGTTGTTTTATAAAAGCCTTTGATAATACAAACAGTGCTTATATTATAATGTTTCGTGAAGCATCAGGCTGGCAAATATATAAAACCTAAATATTGCATGTGCACAATATTTGAAGAAAGAAAGGGAGGAAGACAAAAATATTGTATATGTACAATATTTGGAAATATAATACATCTAAATCTTTGTTTTTAATTTAAATTCTTTATTGATTAAAGTATTACATAAGTCTCCTTTTTCCCCCCCATTGACCTCTCCCTGGCTGCCCCCACCCCCCAGCATGTGCCCTCACCCCCTCCCCCCCGCCCCCCAATCATGTTGTGTCCATTGGTTATGCTTATATGCATGCATACAAGTCGTTTGGTTGATCTCTTACCCCCTTATCCCACGCCTTCCCTCATAGGTTGGACAGTCTGCTTGATGCTTCTATGTCTCTGGTTCTATTTTTGTTCATCAGTTTATGTTGTTCATTATATTCCACAAATAAGTGAGATCATGTGATATTGATCTTTCTCTGACTGGCTTATTTAGCTTAGCATAATGCTCTCTGTTCCATCCATGCTGTTGCAAATGGAAAGAATTCCTTCTTTTTTACAGCAGTGTAGTATTCCATTGTAATACATCTAAATCTTAATTACCTCTGTGAGATGGGGCAAATTTCTCTAATGAATATAAAGTATTTTTTATAAGTTGAATAATATAATAAACTTAAATACAAAAAATAAGTGCCCATGAGAAGATCTACATTCCAATTATACTTACTTTGAATTAGTTTAATTTGAAAATCTGTCTTCAGAAGTAGTAACTTTAACTGCACAGAAAAAAGGGAAAAGAAACTTAGAACTGGAAGGCAGACCTAGTTGGTTTAGGAGACCTTAGACATCCAGAAAACATAGGGGAACTTGGTGTTTGGCATGTAGGAAAAAACAAACAGAAGTGTGGGGTAGGGGCTTCAGAAAGAGTGGTAGAGAACAGCAAAGAATTTTACCCAATTTTTATTTTTTAGGGATTGTGGTAGCACTGAAGGTCATTTGGAATTATGCTGATGTCTGAATTACAATATTAGGACTGATAGTAAGGCTGTAATACTATCCCATTTGCTTGACAAATATTTGAGTGCCTAGTGTATCACATATACTATACTATCTAGGGGTACACCCTTGACTGACAGGATATAAACCATGCCCTGTGGAGGAAGGGGATCCAGACTTGTATATAAGTAATTATAGCACAGTGTAATACATGCCACCGGAGAAGATGCTGTGGAAACACTTAGGAGGGAAATCTAATGGAGGTTTAGGGAGTTTCTTGGGTAAAATAATGTCCATGTTGAGTCTCAAAGGATGAAGCTAGTCCGATTAAGGTTAGGGGAAATATTGTTGGCAGAAGGATAGAATATATGAACAGGCCTGGAAACAAGAGAGAACAATATGTTTCAAAGAAGTGAAAAAAAAAAAAAAAGAATATGGCTGCATCTTTGAGTGTAAGGAAGTCTTCAGAGAGAGACCAATCCAGAGAGGTGGATAGAGACAGTATTGTAATCCATGGTAAGAAGTTTGGACTTTGTACAGAGCAGTTGATAGCCACTGAAGCCTTTTAGGTAGAGGAATATCATGATTTGTAGTTTAGAGAAATTCCCTTTGTCCATTGTATGAAAAATGGGCTGAAATAAGATAAGATTGGAGGCAAGAAGATCTGTTAGAAAATTTTTATAGTAATAAAGAAAGAAGATAATGGTGGCTTGAATTCAGGCAGTGACAGTGAGGACAGTAAGACATGAAAGGATTTGGAAGATATTTTAGAAGGCAAATTGACCTAAAATTTAGGGCTTATATACTCTTGGATGTGAAAGGTAAGACAAATGGGGAATCATCAAAGATTCCAAGGTTTCTGACTGGGTGAAGTGAATGTGTAGTGGTTTATTTGTTGATTCAATAGGGAATCAGAGGGGAAACAGGATTCTCAAGAGATGGGGTGGGAGGAAATTTAGATAATTAGTTCTCTTTTGAACGTAATGAATGTGAAGTGCCTAAAAGACAAGTGGAGGTTTCCTTCCATGCATACATCCAGTGTTGGCTGCATCCCCAAGCTCTAAAGCTGGAGAAATCGATAAGGCTTAGGGTACAAAGTCCTGTTATGTCTACCATAATTGATTAATCATATGACCTTTCTAATTCAGTAAATATAACTTAATACAAAGAACATTTTCAGAGAGACACAAAAGAATTTAGGTGACAGATTTTTAAACCACATTTTCCCAGTTGTTGTTTTTTTTATTTAGGAATTTTTTTTCAAGTAAAGTTTTTAAATTTAGCTTTCTTGAGGTATAATTTATATAAATTATAATTCACCCATTTACTAAGAGAAGAGCTTGACAAAGGTATGCAGTCTTGTAACCACTACTATTAATCTAGATATAGAACATTTTCATCACCCCCTTGGGCAGTTTTATAGTCATTCCCAGACTCAGACTCAGTCCCTGGCAACAACTAATCTGCTTTTTGACACTGTAGTTTTGCCTTTTCTAGAATGCTATTTAAATGGAATCATACACTGTGTAGTTTTTTATCTGGCTTCCTTCACTTAAAATAATGCTTTTGAGATTTGTTCATGTTGTTGCTTGTATTAATAAGTTTTTCCTTTTTTATGGCTGTGTAATTTTCTATATGGATATATAGTTTGTTGATCCTTCACCAGTAGATGGTCCTTGGGTTTGTTTTCAGTTTTAGGCTAATATGAATAAAACTATTATGAACATTTACATATAGGCCTTTGTGTGGACATATCTTTTTATTTCTTGTAAGTAAATATCAAAGAATGGAATTGCTGGGTCATTTGTTAAGTGTATTATTTTACTTCATAAGAAACCGACCGTTTCTTGAATCAGTTGTACCATTTTACATTCCTACCAGTAGTATATGAGAGTATCAGTACTCTCACTGTCTCACCAACACTTGGTATGGCCCATCTTCAATGTCTTTTGAATAGATGAAGTTTTACATTTTTATCAAGTCTAATATATCAGTTTTGTTTTATAATCATGCTTTTGGAGTCATGTCAAAGAAATATTTGCCTAACTCAAGGTTGCAAAGATTTTCTCTTATGTTTTCTTCTAGAATTGTTATGATTTTAGGTTTTACGTTTAGATCTGTGATCCATTTAGAAGAAATTTTTGCATGTGGATATAGAACTCTTAGGGCACTATTTGATGAAAAGACTATTCTTTCTCTACTGAATTGTCTTTGTACTTTATCAAATATCTGTCGTGTGTATGTGTGGGGTCTACTTCTGAACTCTACTCTGTGCCATTGGTCTGTTTGTCTCTCTTTATTCCAATACCACACTGTCTTAATTACTGTAGCTTTATAATAAGTATGGAAATCACATTGTGTTAGAGCTCCAATGTTTTTGTTCTTTTTCAAAATTGCTTTGTCTTTTGCTTTTCAATATGAATTTTTAGAATTATCTTGTTAATTTCTTTCAAAAGCCTGCTGGGATTTTGATTAGAATTCTGTTCAATGTTTAGTCAATTTGAGGAGAATTGACATCGTAGCAATATTGAATTTCCTGACCCATGAAAAGATATATTGTTCCATTTATTTAGGTCTTTAATTTTTGTCAGCAATATTTTGTAGTTTTCAGAGCGACGAGGACTCAATGTAATGATTTCTCTATTATCGTATAATTTAAAAATTTTGATAAATTAAAAATTGCCTTCCTCTGATCTTTGTACACTGCTGTCAAGATAACTGAGGTCAACCTGATTTTTCTTAAGTTTCCCAGGGGCTTAAGTCTTTTTTTAGAGAACCAGAATACTTTTTTTCATATATTTAAAAACTAATAGTTTTACTCTAAGATATCACTTAGAATTGACTGTTCTGGTTCAGTCTTATCATACAGGGTTGGGCAAAAATAGGTTTGCAGTTATGGATATACAAAACAGTTTATCTTATATTATTTATTAATTATTATATTATATTATTTATTATTATTAACCTACTTTTGCACACTCCTATTTATATATTGTGGGCCCTTTTAATATGTGAATTTGAGTCTTTTTATTTTATGAATGTTTTTCTTGAATTATAGATTAAATACTTTTTCTGCTTGATTGTTTTTTATTTTATCTTCAGAAACTCTAATTATTTGTGTACTAGAGGCCCGGTGCACGAAATGTGTGCACTGGGGAGGGGTTCCTCAGCCGTGCCCTCTCGCATTCCAGGAGCCCTTGGGGGATGTCCACCTGCTGGCTTAGGCTTGCTCCCCATGGGGATCAGGCTTAAGCCAGCAGTTGGACATACCTCTTGCCGTCTGGGACACCTCGCTCCTTACCGCCTGCCTGCTTGCTGCTCCTTACTGCTTGGCTTGCTGCTCCTTAGCGCTGCCATGGAGGCAGGAGAGGCTCCCACCACCACTGCTGCACTCACCAGCTGTGAGCCTGGCTTCTGGCTGAGCGGCGCTCCCCCTGTGGGAGCGCACTGACCACCAAGGGGCAGCTCCTGCGTTGAGCGTCTGCCTCCTAGAGGTCAGTGCGCATCATAGTGACCAGTGGATCTGGTCGTTCTGCCTTAACAGTCGCTTAGGCTTTTATTATTTAGATTGTATATTCTTTGTATATTGTATATTCTTTTATATTTGTCAGCTTTTCTCTGATTTCTTTTATTTCCTTCTTTGTTTAAATTTTATTTTTTTGTTTCTTTTATCTTCTCTCCTTCTCTTACTGTGCTTTTGGTCATATCTCTTCTCTCTTAGGTGGCTTGTAGTTGTCTTCATTTCTGAGATGAATTTGACATTTATTTCAGTTTTTTTCTGATTTTCATTAGCTTCTATTTCATATTTTCCTACTCTTCATTTCTTTTTTGAATTCTGAAATTTCCAGTTTGTGATGTTCTTTCAGATCTGCAATTGTATGTTTAAACATATGTAATATATGTTGGGATGTTATAGTTTAATTCTATTTTATGGCTACTTCTTATTTTGTTTTATTCTAGAGTGCCTTCAGTTGCTGCTTTTATTCTCATTTTTTGTGTTGGTTTTTTCTGGACTGGCAATAATAGATGACCTCGTTGGAGGGTGGGGGGAAATTACCGGCTGGTTTTCCTAGTTCACGTGCTTTCTTCATTTGTTACAATTTAGTGTAATTTCTTAAATAGTGTCTTTTGAGGGTGGTCTATCATCTTCTCAATATTAACATTATTTTGTTTTAGTAGGTACTTTATCTTGAGCCACTTCCTTCTTTATCATAAGCCTCCAAGGAATATCTCCGTCTTTCAAGGTACCTCCCTCTGGCCCAAAAGCATTGTCTTGCTAAGACCTCTGATCCACACTTGCCAGTCCCCTTCCTTTGACCTTCCTATTAGCTGTGGTCTGACCCACAGGTCTCTGACCTGATGTCAGGATTTCCTCACCCACGGTGGGTTCTCTTTGCTATTATAGTCGTTCTGCTACCACTGAAATCTTGTCACACTCTCCTTTCTTCTACCCAATTTTATCCTGACTTCTTTTTGGTGTTAGGGCTTTGGAGCCAACTTTGCTAATTTGGGATGCTTATTTTCCCGAGTTAATTTTATGTAAGTTGAACTTTGTGGTATTTGTTGCAGTTTTAGTTTTCCCATTTGCCTAAATTGTTAGTGATTGATTGTTTTGTTTTGTTTTGTTTTTAATCATCATAGAAGGGATCTTGCTGGAGGGTGTCTGAAGATATTAGGACAAGGGTCCACAAACTTCAGTATGTAGATCAAATTCAGCTTCATTTGGCCTCTGGTCTGTGTGAGCTAAGAATTCTTTACATTTTAAGGGTTATAAAAACAGAAGAAGATCAGATACAATTTTTCTGAGATCTTCAATTTATCTCACTTTAAAAATGACTAAAACATGTCTTTCTGGAATTACCTTTGAATAAAAGTTTGTATACTTAAAAATAAATAAAAACAGAAGAAGAATATGTCACAGAGATTGCATGTAGCCCACAAAGCCTATAGTATTTTCTTTCTGGCTTTTACAGAGAATGTTTGTTTACCCCTTGATTAGGATTTAGCCACTTGTTATCTTATAAAAACCCTATAATTTTTAAGAAACTACAGAAAGAAGTTTTTATGACCAAATGTACAGATGACTTTGGACTTGAGTTTTAGGTCTACCTGTGTGCTTCATAAACTCCATTAGGACATCCTTGCATATTAGTCTTCCAACAAGTATTGTATAGTTAGAAGCATCTTTGTGGAATGATAATGTTTTAACAATGATATGCCATTTTAGTGGCATCTGTTAACTACAATCAAAATATGTCATTATGCCCTGGCCCATGTGGCTCAGGTTGAATGTTGTCCGCTGCACCAAAAGGTCACTGGTTCAATCCCGGTCAGGGCACATGCCCAGGTTGCGGGTTCAGTCCCGGCTGGGGTGCACATATGAGGCAACCGATCGATGTTTCTCTCTCACATCAATGTTTATCTTTCTTTCTCTCCCTTTTTCTCCCTTTCTCCCTCTCCCTTCCTCTCTCAAATTAATAAAAACGTATAATAAAAATTTTTTTAAATGTCATTATGTATATCCACTTAATTATGTTTACAGAAGTAAACTTTCAATATGTTTCAAAGCAGTTAATACATTCTGCCAAAAGGAAAATAGATAATGAAATTATTTTTTTACTTGCTTTACTGATTACTTTTATAATATGTATATTAATTCTCCATGATTTTGTATTTTAGTTGACTAGTACTTGTATTAGGAGATAATAACTTATGTTTGTACCTGCACTTTGGCAGGCTGTGTGTGTGAGTGTGTGCATGTTTGTTATTCTCATAAACCTGAAGATAGAACTGAGAGACTTTCTAGTCCATCTTTCTCTCTTTAGGTAGGATCATATTTAACCCACTTAAACATCATAATATTTTTGGTTCAATCTTTCCAGAATAAGAGTTTCTACAGTCTCCTTAATAACTTGATAGTTTTAGCATTTCTCAACTAAGTGACAGCAAAGTGGTCTAGTTCAGTTAAAATATTTTCTAAAAAGATTGTATTTTTGTGTGTAATTAACTAGACAAATCAGCAGTAATTTGTTTAAAGTGCTTCCTGTGTGGTCAGACAGGAGGAAAGAAGGAAAGGCATGCTAATAAGAGACCTGCATGAGCACAGGTGCTTTGGGGAAGTTGGGGAAATTCAGGGCCCATTTGAAGAACAGCAAGTATGTGGTTTGAATATAACTATGATGTAATCATGAAAGTTCATGGCTGTGAATTTTTTTTAAATCTATTGGCACAATTTGGAGTCTATTTTCTTATTTCAGGAAAATAAGCAATAAATTATTGCTATGTGATTTTAAACATTTCAAGAGCCAAATGTGCTGAGTGAAAACCATAGGGAAGATCTGCAAGTCTTTCATCATTCTTATTATTCAATAAATAACTTTATTTACCTGTTTTTATATGAATACAATTTCAATTCCTTCATATATGCATCCTCTAGGAATCAGATATTTTCCAGAATTAGGTATTGTCATTTACTTTGATACATGTTCTACTGAAAATACATTTGACTCCACGTGAGCAGGGCCATAAAAAGTGCTATACTTGGCAGTGTTTTGAAAATAGGATACCTATTCCTTGTACATAGGCTTGAGTATTTTAACATTGCATCAGTTTTGCCATAATAATTTCTATAGATATCTATCATTTTTTCTTATTTGTCATGACAGTTATTTTTCTTGGCAATTGATAAACTGTATTTCCAAATAGCATAAGCGGAATGATGACTGAGCATATAACATGTATTTCATCTTTCTCAAACCCTTGCTCATAAGTCGCCTCTTGCATTAGTGTTCTTTCTTTTTCATTGCTTTTAAACTTTGCCTTTCTCAAATCACTTTTTGGTTGTATGATGATCACTATATATTTATATTTTTTGTCTATTTTAAAGTCTCAGAATACCATACTATATTAAATGCTATATCTTTTTACTTAACTAAAAAAACTTTACTATTAAAAGTACATAAGCAAAAAGTTGATGAGGAATGGTTATCTTATTTGAAAATGTTCCTGACTATTAATATCCTGTTGCCTTCTAAAATTTGCAAATAATTCTTTTTAAAAATGTCTCCCTTTTAGACTTTTGAAGATTTTAAAAATGACAAGCAAGCTGTAGAATATCAACAGCGTATTGTGGATATATTGTTGAAAGTAAGTATTCAAAGAATACATGCCTTTGTATTGATGTTTTTATTAAGAAAATTGAGTTGTTTTATAGCAAGTTCTAAAATAATCTTGTTTAAGGAAGCAATATGCTGCAATCATTTTAAAATTTTATTATGATGTTCTTGTCTTCAAAAACTGAACAAAATACTAATCATTCAAAATATTTAATGTATATCAACTTTAGTCTGTATACTAGGATACCAGGTACTACTCTAGAAAAATGCATATTGTGATAATTGCTATGTTACTATGATTGTATGCAATACTAGAGACTGACTTCAGAGTGCTTTGAAAAAGTAAATAATGTGAAGAATCTCCCTTTGTTTCATACCGACATCACTGTGTTGCTAAGATAGTGCCATAGTTTTACCATGGTACTGGGATGATAGGTAACACTTAAGAATGCATTATTTGAGTCACACAGAGATGGTCACCCTGTCTAAATCTAACTAGATTAAGTCCAAAGCCATTTTGAGATCAATGCTGTTGCTAATAAATGAAGCTGTACAGCTTTAACCAGGCCAGTTTCTTCGTTTAGTTGAAAGCCTAGAATTTGTGTCCTGTTCATTTGGCCGTGAAATGAAACTTTATTCCTCATAGTGACTTGTAGATTATTTTGCACAAGAAAACAATATGGAAATATTCTCTAGTTGTCATAGCATTAATGCATTACATTTGTAATAGTCCTTTATAATTTCCAAATCACATTTATATATGTTATGTCATTTGAGCTGTTTATTGATCTTGTAAGATAGGCAGTGATGAATATGAAATTAAGATTGCTAAATTCCCAAACTTTGATCCAGGTGGCTAGTATGGAGAATCTTTACCTGGATTTCCAAAATACTTCCCTAAATGGTCTCTATAATGAGTTTTGTCTGGTTTGTGATCTTGCCTTTCCCCTACCTAATATTCTTCTATGACTCCATTGGATCAGTTGTAATTAAGTTCTGCTATGAGAGAAAATTCAAATAACAGTTTAATTTTGAAGGGAATTTATTTTTTTATATAAGTCTAGAGGTAGACAACCTGATCTATTAGATTAGCTTTATAAACTTTTCAGGGATGAAGATTGCCTCTTTCTTACTGCTGTTATTTTTAGTATATGGTTTCTAGCTTTTGGTCCAAAATGACTTCTCAAGCTCCAGCCATCACCTCTGCATTCTAGTTAGCCTGAATGCAGAAGGGGATGAAGAAGATAGTGTTCCCTCTCTTTAAGAAATTTCTCAGAAGTTGTGTAGTACTACAATTCTGCTTATATCATATTGATCAGAACTTAGATATATGACTCTGTACTCTGTATTGTGGGTGACTATGTGTTTAGCTAAAAGTAAGGAGTTCTGTTTCTCAGAAGGATAGAACAGATGTTGGAGCACAAGTACTAGTTTCTGCCATACCTATCTAAACTTTAATATTACATCCAAGATCCTTCTTTGTTTTTTGGTCCCTGCCTACTGCACTATAACTCTCCCCTCTCCTACTGCCCTCCCCCACTGTATTATGAACTTCTCAACCATATTAAATTATTGGAATTCACTGAACTTTATGTGTCATCTTTATGGCTTATGTTCTTTGCATGAGTTTTCTATTATCCCATCTTGCCTTTTTCTTCCTTTTCTCTCTGCCTGGCAAATTCCTAACAATTTTCCAATGTGTAACTCGTATATCATCCATGAGAAACTCTTAGAATGCTCTCCCACACTTCCAGTTTGATTAGTTGCCCCTTCTCTGTGTTCATAGAACATTTTATGCTGCACTTGGAACACTGTATGGTAATTATTTACATGTATATTTTTCTACCTGGATTTGAGCTTCTTGTAGGTAGACTCTGAGGATTTGTTTTTGTAACTTATTTTAATTTAATTATAGTTGACATACAATGTTGTTTTAGTTGCAGGTACAACATAGTGATTCAATATTTTTTACATTACAGTATGATCACCACAATAATCTAGTTACTATCTGTCACAAAATTACAGTATTATTGACTATATTCCCTATGCTGTATATTATATCCTCCTGACTTATTTATTTTATAACTAGAAATGTGTACCTCTTAATCCCCTTTACCTATTTTGCCTGTTCCCTTCATTCCCCAAACCTCTTCTCTTTGGCAACCACCAGTTTGTTCTCTGTATCTATGACTTTGTTTCTGTTTTCATTTGTTTTGTTTAATAGATTCCACATATAAGTGAAATCAGGCAGTATTTGTCTTTCTCTGTCTGACCTATTTCACTTGGCATAATGTGCTCTGGGTCCATCTATATTGTTGCAAATGGTAAGATTTCATTACTTATGGCTGAATAATATTCCATTGTATGCATATACATCACATCTTCTTTATCTGTTTATCTATAGATGGGCACATAGGGTTGCTTCCATATCTTGGCTATAGTAAATTATGCTGCAATGAACATGTGGTGCATATATCTTCAAATTGGTGGTTTTGTTTTCTTCAGATAAATACCCAGAGATTGAATTGCTGGATTATATTGTAGTCTCATTTTTAATTTTTTCAAGACTCTCCATACTGTTTCCCGTAGTGGCTTCCCTCTGGTCACCACATACTGTTGTCTGTGTCTATGAATATTTGTTTGTTTGTTTTTCTTGTTTGTTCATTCTTGCTTTCAGTTTTTTATCCCACATATGAGTGAAATAAGTTAAGGAGTTTACACTTATAGAGCAAAAGGAAGGGCTAAAAGCAGAGGAGCGTTAGATGGGTCCCGACAGTTGAATCCTCAGAAAGGATCTGTGCACTGAAGGGGAGTGATGACTGAGCGTTTTAAAGCCCTAGGAAGCTCTTTGAAAGTTTAAATCGGAATTTGGATACATACACAGACTAAAACTTGAAATATACTCTAGGAATGACTAATTATATACTTGGGCAGGCTGTGATTGCTAGACAAAAGAAGGCAGCGTATAAGAAAGAGATATACTGCCAGCAAAGTAAGAAAAGGTAGGCCAAAAGCCAGGTTCCAAGGGAATATTTTCTAATTGGAAAAAATCTTATAGTTTATTTTTGAATGGAGAATGGAAGGAGGGAACTTAGGACTCTTCGACAGATAAGAGGGTATTCTTCAATTTGTTATAGAGTTGCCTCCATAAACTCAGCTAGTCCAAAGCAGTGCATGATCTTCTTTCCCAAACTTCTGCATTCTGTCTCTTTGTTAAGAGCTTCATTATCCTACATGCCTGTCAGGCTCAAGATCTCACATGTTTTTATTTCTCCTTAGCTACACACCTTTCCATGCATATGTGTACTCGACCTGTCTCCTCTCTCTCTGCAGTGTCTTTTGCACCTCTTCCTCCTTCCCTTTTCGCTATAACTGCCCTAGTTCAGGACCCCTTTGCTTTCCCCGGACCCCTGCAGTCATGTGCATTTGGTCTACCTTCAATTTATTCCTTCGTTATTTTATCTGATACCCTGCTGATAGGATAATTTTCCTAAGTGCAGTACTGATCATGATCAACTCTCCTGGTTGAGCACCTTTTGTAGCTCCCAGTTTTCTATGGAATAAATTCTAGATTTTTCAGAATGACATTTGAGGCCTAATCTTTTCTTTCTATGTAATTTCTCCTTGCTCCTCATGCATGCTGCTGCATTCTAATGAACACAGTTTCTCCAAACAACCTCACATTTTACTGTGTTCCTGCTTTCGCTCACATTGCTCTCTCTGACTGGGTTGCACTCGCTCCTGGCATTTCCCGTCACAGGTTCCACATGGGCTTTAAAGCTTAGTTTAAAAGCTACTCTTCTGATTTATTTTCAATTCCCTGTCTAACCACTTGAAATAATTTCCCCCACTGTGCTGCGGGAGTAATTTGTTCCTTTATAATAGTGCAGATAGCACTGTGCCTTTTATTTAAAATTTGTTTACCTGTCTCACCTTGCTTTCTCATTTATAATTCCCTTGAAGGCATCTACCATAGCATCTTACACATAGTAGGTAGTCAGGAGAGGAAAGCTCACTTAAAGCAGAGGAATGAGTATGATTGATAACCGTGTGTGGTTGTAAAAAGCCCACTATGCAAAACCATCTGTTCAAGGAACTGCTTATAGACAAGGAGAATCTATTCACTTCATTGATTCGTGGGCTGGCCGACTTTTTTCTGGGATACCTGCACTCTGAAATTATCTTTTAAGCCCCAAAGCAACTCCTTTCTTCCTGTACTGGTGGGCAGATTTTTGATAGGATTACTTTAATTTAACAGAAATTAATTTTAGTAGGATTCTCTTTTAAGACTTCAAGAGGGAAACATGATTAATATCTCTCTGCAAGTTACCTAACAATTCACTTCTGATCCAAGCTGTGCCTAGAAATATGCCAAAAATCACCAAAATGATCCCCTTTCAGAGTATGCAAGCAGTTGTGCTCCTTCTCTAATTGGTATTAAACTCAATTGTTGCAAAATAATCTTTTCATGAGTCTTCAGTAATGAGACTCCCCCACCCCTTTTCATTGTATATTTTTTGTGTCAAACCAGATGGTATATTGAATAAATGGCCTCTTTTGCTCATCAGGTTATGGTGGAGAACTCAGATTTTACTCCCTCACAAGTCGGGTGTCTCTTTACATTCCTTGCCCGGCAGCTTGCAAAACCTGACAATACCTTGTTTGTAAACAGAACCCTCTTTGATCAGGTGAGTGTCTTCAACAATGAGAGCTAGAATTGTTTTTATCCTATTACTGTTCATAGAAAAGTTCACTGGATTACATGGTCTCTAAATGTAATAGCCAAGCCTGTTCTGGTTTCAGATTGGATCTAATTTAGCTGTCGTTGGTTTTGTTAAATGATGTGTCTGGGTAGTATGACTGCCTAGTAAGGTGGTATCATGAGGGTATGATTTGTGGAGATTAGTTTATAGAGATTTTGTTCTCTCAATTATTCTATTGCTCCAAATTTCTTTGGTGAAAAATTTTCCAATTTAAGAATCACCCATCTCACTGGTAGTAAGACTATTATGCTGATCATCTGAATGTACTTACAAATGACTTTGATTCTGAAAGGTATTTCCTAATCTCAATTAAATAGCATCCCCATATCCACACATGACAGTGAAAATACTTGTTTATCTGCAGCTAATAATGACTAGATTTATTGAGTACTTCATAGTGCCAGGCTCTGTTCCAGTTTTATATGTGTTTATTAATTCAGTGCTCCTAATAGTTCTGAATTTGATATAGTTGTTACCCCATTTTGCAGATGAGCAAACTAAAGCCTGGATAGGTTGAGGTACTCATCCAATATCGTACTTAATAAGTGTTATTATTAACAATAGATGTTCTTATTAAGTGTTGATAAAGTTAGAATTCAAATTTAAGTGGCCTGACTCCAAAGTTCATGCTTTGCTTGGTCCATGGTATCAGGGATCTTAAAGTTAAGGTATATAGATGATGCTGCCTTCTAGTCATGTTTCTAAACAGCATACCTGAACCTCCTGTGCCATGTACTAGGCCAATCAGTTGGGAAGATACCATATACCTGTGGTATATTTTTTATGGTGAAGTGTGAATGAATTGGTGAGATATAAAGGGTAGGTGCTGTTTTCATTGATAGTGTGATAGCATGCATGCTGGTATCCAATAAAAAAGTACATTTTCTTTGACCAGGTCCTTGAATTCCTCTGTAGTCCTGATGATGACTCCAGGCACTCTGAAAGACAGCAGGTATGAACTACTAGAACTCTTTTTGCTAAAGAGTAGAAAAGATGCTTGGCTGGCGCAGTGGTTGAGTGTTGATCTATGAACCAGGAGGTCACAGTTCCATTCCCTGTCAGGGCACATGCCTGGGGTTGCGGGCTCAATCCCCAGTGTGGGGCATGCATGAGGCAGTCAGTCAATGTCATCATTGATGTGTCTCTCTCTCTCTCTCTCTCTCTCTCTCTCTCTCTCTCTCTCTCTCCCTCTCTCCCCCCTCTCTTCCTCTCTCCCTCTCTCCCTCTTCCTTCAATAAAAAAATATTTTTTAAAAAAGAGTGGGAAAGAAACAGAGTAAGCCCAAAAGAACCCTTCTGTGCTAACTTCACAAGGCTTAAGGGGGAAGCGACTTGTGCCCAAACCTAACACTAAGCCAGATAGTGGCAACCAGAAAATAGTGTGACGGTTGTTAGAAGTGCATATATATGGAGTTTATATCACACTAAGTTTCTAGGCACCGGACCTGTCTTGCATTCAACATGACGTCAAGGAGAATACTTCATCCTTCTCCTTGGATCTAATTTAGCTCTTGTTGGTTTTTGTTTTTTTTTAACAATCTGAAAGGTGACCCTAATCTCAGTTAAATAGCATTCCCATTTAACTATGAAGTGCACAATAAAGGCATTGCAGCCACAGTTGGCACCTGTTGTATCCTGCTTTCACTGGTGTCATTAATCTGATAACCACTCCTTGCTGCTATGGAAAGACTGCAGGTTACTGAGTGTGGGACACTCAGCTTTTGGGAGTGCCCTCTAGCCCCACTGCATTAGGGCTAACCATTTCTGGAGACCTTATCCATCTGTCCCCCTACTAATTGCTGTGACATGGTAACTGTTTGAGCACCACTTCTTTCTACTTATCCCCCCCCCCTTTTTTTGGTCCCTTCTAAGAATAGGATTCTTTAAAAGTTTACCCATCGTAATTGTGAACACTAAGAGAGTCAACCTACTTAAAATTGGCTGCCAGACTTTTGTGAGCTAAGCTATAAAAATTAAGAATTTTGATAGCTATGCTGATTTTTTATGGTAATAGTGCACAGCTGAGAGGTTGAGACCCAGATAAAGAACATGTGGTAGCAACAGTGACCCCTTTCTCTGCACAGCTGTGGCCCAGTGACTGCTAAAATTTTGGTTCTCTTATTTATATCGAATACAAATAGTAATGTGGCCCCTCATTTTGCCCCTATTTCTCTATTGATAGGAAAAATAGATCATGTTGTGCATGTTATTTTGCTATATAAAATAAAAAACTTTTTATATAAATAACTAAATTAAATAGAAATAAAAATCTTATCTAAATATAACAGCCAAACCTTGAAAAGTAATCATCCTATAGTAATATTCTATTATTGAGAGTCCCCTTTGAGATTAACTAGTTTCCTTTTCTACTCATTTTAGAAATATAGGAAATGGATAAAGTAAGTTGCTCAAGGTCACAACTGAGATTAGAACCCAGTTCCTTCCCTTCGCAGGCACTCTTTCCCCTGCACAGTTTGTTATATATCAACATTTGTTTACGTAGTATTTGTTAGTATTTTCCAGTGGAATGCTGATAAAAGTTTAACAACTTGCTCTTCAAATGTAGGTCTGATATGAATGTTGGTTGATATTTTCATTTACATGAATGAATAAGGGTGAAAGTGCAACAAGGAAAGCATGTCAGAACTTCACCCATTCATCAGTGAAGTGACTTCTTTGCTGAATCAGATAAGTTTTTGAAATAAAAAAAAAGAATTCCTTAATTTTTTGATATTCACATTGTAATGACTACGACATTCACACTTTAAAGTCTGATTGCCTTATTACATTATCTCCATCACTTTTGTAACCAAGGTTTGGCAGTTTTCCTGGAAAGAGCCAAAGAGTAGCTATTTTAGGCTTGTGGGCCACATATGGTATATGTCACATATTCTTTGTTTGTTTTACAACCCCTTAAAAGTGTAAAAAGCCCTGATTTACAGAATTTGCCAGTTTCCATGGTGTCAGCACTCCCACCATTTCAGCTTACCAGCATGATGTCACTCAGCCGAGAGTTAGAAAGAGATGCTAAGTACAACACCCTTATGTAATATTTCCCCGTACAGATTCAGTTACAGTAACTAACCTCAAGAGCATACATAGTAAAATGTAATGAAATAATTAAAAGTGGTGAGTTTTTAGTATTAATTACCTTTGTTTTTACTTTAATTTATTTGACTGTAAAGTTACATAGTTTAATTTTTAACAATGGCTGTGTTTCACAACTGACTTTCAAAATTCCTGAAAATTTAACACTCAATTCTAAGTGGGTTGGTAAGACTGGCTCCAGCGTAGTACTATTATGTTATTCCACATTGAGGCTTCCAGCAGATGGCGTTGACTCCATAGTTCTTCTATGTAGCAGTACATTAAAACACTCAAAGTGGATTAAATTAGGGTTCTGAAATGTAAAGTTTGGATAGGTTTTATTTATTTTATGCCCCCTCCCCCCTTTTTTTTAACTTGAAAGTAATCAATTTCCTAAGTTAGAAAAATGCTTTGTTAAATGGTTTCCTGGAGTTCTGAGAAGGATCATGTTACTCTGGATCTTGACCTTCAATACATGAGAGAGCTTTCTCACATTGCCCTAATGATTAAGTAATGATTCTATTGTATTGAGAGGTTTATTTACAGAAATTGAAGAATCTGTCACAACATCCTAGTCATCTTTGTTATTCACCTTCTTCGTTTGGTAGAATTATTTATAAGAACCCCAGTGTTTTGTTGTTGTTCTTGTTTTTAAATGTCACTGCAGGATATGTTTTTATTGATTTTTTTAGAGAGAGAAGGGAGGGGAGAGAGAGAGAGAGAGAGAGAGAGAGAGAGAGAGGAAATATAAACATTGGTGCCTCCCATAAATGCCCCTACCGGGGATCGAACCCAAAATCTAGGTATGTACCCTGACTGAGAAATGAACCTGAAACCTTTTGGCACATGGAAGATGCTCCAACCAACTGAGCCACCCAGCCAGGGCATGAACTCCAATGTTTTTTTTTGTTTTTGGGTTTTTTTTTAATATATTTTATTGATTTTTTACAGAGAGGAGGGGAAAGGGATAGAGAGTTAGAAACATCGATGAGAGAGGGACATCGATCAGCTGCCTCCTGCACGCCCCCTCCTGGGGATGTGCCCGCAACCAAGGTACATGCCCTTGACCGGAATCGAACCTGGGACCCTTGAGTCCGCAGGCCGATGCTCTATCCGCTGAGCCAAACCGGTTAGGGCCCAATGTTTGTTTTTTATTGTTATAAACTACATATTATAAATTTTGAAATTTTAAATGTACAATTCAGGCATTAAGTATATTATTGTTGTGCCACCATTGCCACCATCCAACTCCAAAGCTTTATCTTCCAAACTGGAAATCCCCATTATCTCCTCCCCCTGGCAACCACCATTCCACTTTCTGTCTCTGCGAATTTGACTACTTTATATACCTCATATAAGTGGAATCATACAGTACTTTTTGTGTGTGTGTTTGACTTATTTCACTTAATTTTTGTTTTTATTCATTTCAGAAAGGAAGGGAAAGGGCAAGAGGGATAGAAACACCAATGATGAGAGAGAATCATTGACCGGCTGCCTTCTGGGGGTTGAGCCCACAACCTGGGCATGCGCCTGACCAGGAATTGAACCTGTGACCTTCTGTTCATAGGTCGATGTTCAACCACTGAGCCACGCCGGCGGGGCCACTTAATATTTTTAAGGTTCATCTATATTATAGCATGTGTCAGAAATCCATTCATTTTTTAGGTTAAATAATGTTCCATTATATGTATATACCACATTTTTTTAATCCATTCATCCACTTATGGACATTTGGATTGTTTCCACCTTTTTGCTCTTGTGAATAATGCTACTGTGAAAAATACCAACGTTTCATTAGAAAAAATAACATGTAAACATGAATACTACCTGTGGACCACAAGACATAAGGAACTTTAAGAGCTATAGGACATAAAAGCTCTAGATAAAAATTCACTTTTTAAAAATATTCTTTATTGTTTAAAGTATTACATATGTCCCCCTTTTCCCCCATTGACCTCTCCCCAGCCACTCCCACCCCCCAGCACATGCCCTCACCCCCTTAGTGTCTGTGTCCTTTGGCTATGCTTATATGCATGCATACAAGAAAGAATGTATATGGATGCTTTTAGCTAAGTGGAGGATCATTGGGTATTCTAAAAAGGTTTTATTTGCAAACACTGTGGCATTCCTTTCATGCTTGAAAAATAGAGCCATTAATATTTTTATGAGACTTAAATACAATATGATCAACATTATAATGTAAGTCTAACCTGTTATATATGTGAAAGCCAAGCCAAAACATCAGTAAGTAATAAGACAAAAGAAAAAATTATGGTGTGTGGCTGAATGGATTCTTAAAAAGCTAGTAAATAAAAGGAGATCCCAAAGTTTTTTGTTCATTCATTTTAAATGTTCAGGTCCTTTTAGAATTGCTGCAGGCTGGAGGCATAGTTCAATTTGAAGAGAGTCGGCTCATCCGCATGGCAGAAAAAGCAGAGTTGTAAGTTGTTTTGAAGTCATATATTAGTTGATACAACTATTAAATTGCATTTCTGTAACTTGAAGCCTGGTTTATCCATGCATTGCCATTTATTTTTAAATTAAGAAAAATTATGCAAATAACAAAAAAACCTAAGCATGAAAGTTTGTGCCTTTTAAATCTGAAATTTAGTAAAATTTGCAGAAATTAGCAGGGAGTAAATTAGAAGTATCTGTACATTTGTTTTCGGATAAAAATGAAATAACAGTCATGATTTATTACTTTAGTTATTTAGTTATTTTTTACTTACAATATGCATAGTATTTTATAGATTTTGACAGCTATTTATATATATTATAAATATTGCAGAACTTAATATAGCAAATAAGATGCAATATATTAGATCTACTATTTATTCAGTTTTTAATGTTTTATTTGACATTTAATTCTGTACAGAGAAACTTGGTACAATTAATTGATATCTAATATATTAACTATTTTTGTGGCACATGTTATTTTAACATTTATTTTGTACCCACTTTTAAAATTTCTGTAAACATGGTGTTCAGCAGTATATTAAACCTATATTTAGAAGAATGGCAGATATTAATTTTCTTATATCGGGGTGGGGAACATTTTGTCTGCAAGGGCCATTTGGATATTTATAACATCATCCATGGTCCATACAAAGTTATCAACTTAAAAAAATTAGCCTGCTGTATTTGGTCAGAGACACTCCTAATGTCTTGGCAGGCCAGACCAAATGATTTCTCGGGCCTTATAAGGCCTGGGAGGCCGGATGTTCCCCACCCCTGCCTTAGGTACTATAACTTCATTTAGCAGTAGAAATAACACTTACTGTATTTATTTTTCTATACTAATTTCTGTCCTGAGAAAACTTTTTGAAACAATAATTACCACCTCCCTGTTTGGTACACTGAACTTTTTCCTTTTATGTTCTAGTTATCAAATTTGTGAGTTTATGTATGAACGAGAACACCAATATGACAAAATTATTGATTGCTACTTACGTGACCCACTAAGAGAGGTGAGTTAAGAGATTGCTTACCCTTTTCATACCATTTCCACACAATTCCCCAATGAGCAGGAATAGCTATTCAGTATGTATAAACCATTCAGTAGAAATATTTGGACATGTGTTTGCTGATTCAGATTTTCATTTATTCAATAGGTTTTTATTGAGTGCCTGATATTAGGCAAGTATACATTGATAATTAAAAAGATATAGTTCTTGCAATTTTAAAACTTATAGTTTAGTGATGGAGACTGACCTTAGATGATGGGGAACTGATGTATATACTACGGAAGGAATCTCAGAGGAAGCAACATATAAACTGACTTTGGAATTTGAGAAGAAGCCAGTTAAGCAAAAAGCCAACAGAAAAGTGTTCTAGGATAGGGAACTATATATGTAAAGACCCTGAGGTGGGGAAAATTTTTGACATGTTCAAGGAACTGAATAGAGATCATATAAATGAAGAAAAGATCAATGTAAGTGGAGCCTAATAGACAAGGGCAAGAGTGATTTGAGATGAAATTGGGAATGTGGACAGGGACGACCAAAGACAAAAGTATAATATTCCCTCATTAGGTTAATGAAATTGAGAACAAAATTAATTGGAACAGATTTTCAACTTTTAAGACTCTACACTAAACTAAACTTGAAACAATTGCTCTTTATCGTCAGTGTCAGTTTTCCATCAGTTAACTATCTCCAAATAATAGATATTTAGCAAGACTGGTATAGATATAGTGAGTAAATATTCTTGGCATGATGAATGAATGAATGAATTATATTGTCTTGTGCTCCTTAGGAAGAAGTCTTTAACTACATTCACAATATCTTATCCATTCCTGGCCACAGTGCAGAGGAGAAGCAGTCTGTATGGCAGAAAGCAATGGATCACATTGAGGTGCTAATTCAATAAACTTTTGAAATTTCCCCATTTGTATGGATATCTCCCAAATTAAGCTTATGCTAACCAAGCAATGGCAGGTGTCACGTTATTAAGTTGATTTACTTGCAGATTTGCATCTTTTTCATATAATTTATTCCACCTCATATTTGTATTTATAAAGCCTGTCATATACAATCTATATATATAAAAGCCTAAGCAACCAAACAGCCGGTTGACCGGTTGCTATGATGCACACTGACCACCAGGGGGCAGACGCTCAATGCAGGAGCTGCCCCCTGGTGGCCAGTGCGTTCCCACAGCCAATCTCTCGCAGCTGGCCAACCTCCTACAGTCCCTCCCCCCGGCGAGATGGCCCTGATCAGTCAGATCGCCGGCCAAGCCGAGGGACCCCACCCTTACACAAATTCGTGCACCGGGCCTCTAGTTTATTATATCATGGCTTCTGAAAATAACCCATGTTCAATCAGCTGGTTGGCAAACTGGAATATTAGTGGGTTTTTACAACATTCTTAATACAATTCTGAGGGTATTCCTGGTCTTATTCTCTAATACATAATGGGAGCCATTGCACTCAATCACCCATTGGAATTTTAGAAACATTTCTATAATGAGTTTTTCTCTCTGATATATTTCCCTTCCTTATGTAACAGAATAATTCTGATTTTGTTAATGCATGCTTTTTTTACAATAATGCAGGAGTTGACATTGAAACAAAAAGTTATTTTTAAAACACATGCCTATAGATGCCAAAATGGAGAGACCAATAATGCGTGATGAACATGTGATCAGAATGCATTCTGAAAAAGGGCTCACAAATCACTCCTCACTTTAGTGTCCATAGGTTCATAACATACCATATACCTCAGAAACCAACAGAGCTAGCAGGTTTGTTGAAATGTATTTTTTTGAGTCACTAATTGTTGAAAAAAAGTAGTAACAAAAGATGCTGAGGTCATCCTAGTTTTGAAAATAAATTTCTATTTATAAAGTGTCTTTACTCCTCCTTGTAGCAAGGAACAGGTGATGGGGTAACTTCTGGTGATAGGTTTAGAGATGGAATGAAAGATATGGTTATTCAACATAATTTAAATTTTTTATACATGTGAAAAATGATAAGAAAAGATGAGATCTGAAACTCCGAGAAAACATTGCATGTGATATGAATACTTTGTTCCCATCCTGATGGTTGTAAAGTTTAGAAAGATCAGAAATGTGAACACATCTTATGTGAAACATCTGGTGAGAAAGAGATACAGTCAGTCATCAGATGTGTGGTCTGAAGTAATTTCCACACTTTCATCTATAGGATTGAGAACATATATATGTTATTTTATGTTACGATATTCCTGCTAACAACAAGATGGATATATGTTGATGAAAGAACTCAAGAAAACCTTCTACTTTGAGTTATATCTTTTTCCTTTAATCATTTTGTATTCTTTTTCCTTTCATCATCCCCTTTAAGTCTCTGTATTTACATTATGGCTCATTCTTTATTTCACTTAATCTGCATTAAGCAGTGGTTTGAGCACATGGACTCCAGACATCCAAAAATGAAGCTATGTCTCTCTGCATAATGTGAAATGTGATGCATTAATCAATGAGCAAACAAATTACTCAGCAGGAAACTCAGACTGGAGAAGCAAGAAGTATTGTTGCTGCACAACAATTATTTCTGCTGACTTTTTCCAACATCTGCACATTTTTTTCACCTTGAACTTTTTAATATCTCTTAAGACCACAATTACAAATATATAGACTGTTTGTTGAAGGACTTCCTTGGCTTCAGTAATAAAAATAAAATCAACATTAAATATGTAGGTGTAAAAGTCCTCATAATAAAGTTTTCTGGCAGTATATACAGTGAATAAATTAGTGGTTTTTAACACTTCTGGGGTTATAAATCTCTTTTGAGAATTCGTGAAATATTTGGACTTGTGCATGTGCACAATGCGTAAATTTGTTTACATTTTCAGGGATATGCAGACACCCTAAAAGCCATTTTTAGATCGGGTCTGTGGATTACGGGTAAAAAATCTTTTTTTTTTTTTTTTTTACAATATGAATAAAGCATATTTCATTATATTTTTAAAAAATATTTATTTTTAGTTTTAGGTATAAAAAGCATACAGAAAACTGCATAAAGCAAATGTACAGATTAATAAAAAATTAAAAATCAAAATATCTGAGGTCTAGATCAAGAAATAGACTTATATGCAGTTCCTACCCCAGACTTCCTGTGTAGACTTCCTGTATATCCTTTTCTGGTCACAAGCCCTGACTCCCATAGTACACCGATTAGCCTGTGTTTTTTCCTGATATTTCCTTGCCTTTCTATATATACTGTTACTGCATATGCCTACATCCCTAAAAGTTTATATTTTTGCTTTGCCTTTTTATGAACTTTATGTAAATGAAGTTATATATTGTATTTCCTTTTTTTCTCAATATTTTGAGAAGTTTGTGTGTTTTGTTATCTGAAGCTGTGGTTCATTTGTATTGTTATATAGTATTTCATTTTACAAGTATATCATAGTTTGTCCATTCTACTGTTAGTGGATGTTTTAGTCCATTTATAGTCATCATTATATATGCATCTGAGCACAGCCACATGCATTTCTCTAGTGCAGTGGTTGTTAGTTTGATCCCCAGTCAGCAGTATAGTATCAGCTGAAAACTTAATAGAAATGTAGTTTTGTCTTCACCTCAGACCTTCTGGATCAGAAGCTTTGGGAGTGGGGCCCCACAATATGTTTTAATAAGCCCTCCACGTGCTTTTGAGACATGCTAACATCTGATAATCTCTTCTGTAGGGTCTATAATTGCCAGTTAATTGGGATAAATATCTTTACCAGCTGCCAGCATTGAATGAAGTTTCCCATTGATTCTATATCCTTGCCAGACTTTAACATTTTGCAAATCTAGTGGATGCGTAATGATATTTTACTATGTTTTAAACGTACATATTCTTAGTTACTAAGATTGATAGACTTTTCATGTTTATTGGCCATTTAAATATCCTTTCTGTAATGTGCCTGTTCAAATCTTGCCCAATTTTCTATTTGAAAATCTCCTGTACTTATTGATTTGTAGGCGTTCTTTATGTATCCTGCAGGGTGGCGTTTTTCACTGACACATGTTGTGAATATATCCTCCACTCTTTGGCTTTTTCCTATGATTCTTTTTAAGAGAAGTTCTTTTTTTTTAAGTCAAAATAATTAAATTTTTTTTTCTACACTGAATGAGAAATTCTTCATATTTTTGTTTAAAAGCTTTTTTGTCTGTTTTTCCTTCCATCTTTAAATCTTAGGTTCACCTGAAAGCAGTTTTTGTATATGCTGTGAGGTGGGGGTCCAATTAATTTTTTTAAAATATGGGTGCCCAATATTCCCAGCAGTTATTTTAAAGGTTGCCTTTCCCTATTGCTCAGTAGTGCTACTTTGTCATAAGCATATCAAGGATCTATATGCTTGGTCTGTTTTTCTGGGCCCTCTTCTGTTTCATTGATCTATTGTCTGACTATATCAGGACCTCACAAGTATCCTATATAATAAAAGGCTAATATGCAAATCGAACGGCAGAATGGCCAGTCGCTAAGATGCTCACTGACCACCAGGGGGCAGATGCTCAATGCAGGAGCTGCCCCCTGGTGGTCAGTGTGCTCCCACAGGGGGCGCCGCTCAGCCAGAAGCCAGGCTCACGGCTGGCGAGTGCAGCGGTGGTGGCGGGAGCCTCTCCTGCCTCCGCAGCAGCACTAAGGATGTCTGACTGCCACCTAAGCCATCAGTCAAGCATCCCCCGAGGGCTGCTGGACTGTGAGAGGGTGCAGGCCAGGCTGAGGGACCCCCTCCCTGAGTGCACGAATTTCGTGCACCGGGCCTCTAGTTTTAAATATTGCTTTATAATAAGTCTTGATATCTTTAAATGAGTATTGGTTATTCTTGACCTTTTATACTTCCAAATACATTTTGGAATCAGCTTGTCAAATTCCACCAAAATTTTTTTTAATCTTATGATTCTAACTGTGATTGCAATGAATCTATTAATCACTTTAAATGTAATTGACATCTTTATGACATTGTATCTTTCAATCTATGACTGTATGGTATGACCCTTTATTCAACATTTTTTATAAAGTTTTATAATTTTCTCTGTAGAGATTTTCAGTCCTTTTTTAGACTGTCAAAAATTTATATTTTTAGCATAATCATGCCACTAATATTTTTAATTTCCCATATATGTATAATGTTTATTATAAGGATTTTTATGGAAGTCTTCTATTCTATTTCTAGTATATTAATAGTTTTGTCATGAAAAAATTTTATCACCTTTTCTCCCTTACTAATTTTTGTGGTAAATATTATTGATATTAAATTAGCCTTAAATTCTGTGGATAAATGCAACTTGATTCTGATGTATTATCCTTTTTGTATATTGTTGAATTTTGTTTTTACTTAGAATGTTGTATCAATGTTCATGATTAAGATTTATAATTTTTCTTTCCTATCTTATATTGTTCTATTGGGTTTGGTGATCAAAATGTTGCTAGCCTCGTACGAGCTGAAGAAGTTTCCTTTTTTCTATTCTCTGTAAGAGATTAATTAATGTTGGAATTTTTCTTCCTTAAATGATTACTAGAAGTTACAGGTGAATCTATTTGAGTCTAGAGTTTTCCATATGGAAAGATATTTTATTATTCAGTGCAAGTTTTCTATTGCTTAAGTCAATTTATTGAACTATATTTTTCTAGAATTTATCCATTTTGTCTAAATTTTCAAATTCTTGACATAAAAGTTTTTTATCTATGTAATGTCTATTAATCAGTAGTAATGTCCCCCTTTTCATGTGTGATATTGATTAGTTGTGCTCTCTCTATTTTGAGATGTGTTATATAAAACTAGTATAAACTACAGTTATTTTAATATTAATCATTATTATTAATCTAAAAATACTACCACAAAATTATTAGATATATCACTAATATCACAGTCACACTAACTTGTATACTTTTTATTTCACAATATACTATGTGATGTAAAGTTGGTCTTTGCAGTTAGCCATGTGATATGCAATTGTAAGGGCAGAATAGTAGGTCACAGAAACCAAGTGAAAAGAGAGTTTAAGAAGAAAATGATAGCCAGTGTCTAGGAAAGTTTAGGGAGAGTGCAAATTGGAGGTCTTAGATTTGACAGAAATAGGTTTTATTAACAGTGGTTACTTAACAGTGCCTCTCTTAGTCTGATTTAAAACTTATGACTTAAAGTTGATTTCTTAAGACACTTATAGTTTCAAAACCTACCAGGCAATCAGAAGTACAGTTTTAAAATTCTTAGCCAGAGAAATTGCAGCTATACCTTTTTTTTTTTTCCATCAAGCTATTACTTTAAGCTCAAGGGTGAAATTCACAGACAGAGAATTTGGGGAGCTTTTGTTCATTCTGTTCATCCTGCAGATACATGGCCTAAATCCAGAGTTTAGTGCTTTCATTTTCTAAGAATTCTGAATTACCTTGTATATCACAATCTGACTTTTTACATGGTATGTTTTTAATTTTGCTCATTTACAATGTGCCTTTAAATTAGGGCCTTATATCAAGGTCTCCTGAAATGCAATAAAGAAGCTCATGAAAATATTGAGGCAGGTGATCATGTTTCACATCTATGGGAATCCTATTTAAATTAACATTAAGATTTAGCAAAAGGATTTTGTCTTTTTCTTTCACTCTAGGAACTTGTGTCCCTGAAGCCTTGTAAAGCTGCAGAGCTAGTTGCTACTCACTTTTCTGAACAGATTGAAACAGTCATTAATAAACTTGAGGTAAATATTGCAAATATATATGGGGAAGAAACATCTAGTGGAGAGACAATTGTTGACTATGTACCAAAGAACTTTTGATTTTAGGAATTTGTTCAATTAATAGTTGCCATTTAATAGTAGTTTCTACACATTTGTTGAGGCTTAAAACCCATGGGGGGAAAAAAGTCCCGGCAGACACCGTATATAATCAATTTTACATTATAGAAAAAGAGGTTTTAATGTTGAATGTCAAAGACATTGGAAAGTGGAGAGAAAGGGAAAGTGAGTTATAAAGTTATTGAAGTATTGAGATCTATTCACATTTCTCCTCCCAGACCCTGAGGCCAAGTCTGTCTCCAGCTCCTGCCTCCACTATGCTGCCTGGCACAGAATATCGCCCTATAAACACTGTGGAGTCTAACACGTTTCTTTTAAAGAAATGAAGTATTTCTTTTATTGTAGAACTTTACTGATTATGTAGGAGAATCCCACACAGGTTTTATAAAGTACTTTTACTTTTGATGACAAGAATTATGCCTCTGACCTATTGTTTCAGAATTCTTGAAATGATAAGTAAGCCAGAATATTAGGTTATAACCAGAAGGAAAGTTGTGTAAAATAAAACAAGGTGATGGGCCAGGGAAAAGTTAAAAATCAAAGACGGATAAACATATTCAAAATGTCATATTCTGTATTACATTAATCCATTTCAGTTTTGAGAGTCCCCTGCTTTTTATAGGTGAAGTTTGAATGTGTCGAAAAGGTAAAGAAAAACTAGACTCTAAATTTTTGCTCAGCTTTCCTTAGAACTTAGAAACATTTATATTCATATAGTATCCTAAGGTTCATCTCATTTAATTCTTACCTTTTCCCTGTGCAGAAGGCAGAGGAGATATTGCTGTTCTTTTTTAAATAGGTAAACTGAATAGCTAAGAGAGCCAGTGACTTACACAAAGTCACATAGCTCATAAGTGGAAGAAACAGAGCCCTGATTGCTGAGATGTTGCAGTTTGCCATCTCTGTTGCAGTTGGTTATATTGGGGAGTCCATGAGCTTTTCAGGTGGTGGGTGTCATTTGGGCCGTCATCACAAGAAGGACCAGATGAGACAGTGAACCCAGCAACAGTACAGCCAGAATTCACTACCAGCAGAGCAGTTAGAGCGTCCACGTGCAGGAACTGCACTGGGGTTTGTCTCAGAAGAGGGGTTTTTTTTGGTTGGTTTTCTTTTCTTGGTTGATTTTTTTTTTTTTTTTTTTACAATAACAAGGTATTTGTGTTTCTTTTTCACTCAAAATGGACTATGGGACAGTGATTAGAATTACTGAGAGGAAATGATCTGCAAATGATTCTTTAGAATTTCTTAGATCTATACAGAGGGCTTAATGGAAATAATCATAGGCATGTGTGCATTTTAAAGGCATATTCTAAATTCATTCTTTACCATGGCATAGTTTGAAGAATTTGTTTTAATATTATATTTTTTATTGTTTTTCTACTCAGAACCAGGTTTTGCTTTTCAAATTTTTGAGGAGTCTTCTTGACCCAAGGTATGTTTATAAATTTAGTTTTTTATAATACGTAGATTATAAATCAAAGAAAATAAGTTGAAGTTAACAAACTGGTCCATGGTAACCAAATAGTACACTCGGCCCTTGATTGTTAATGTTTGTGTGTGTGTCAGAATCACCTAAGAAGCTTAAAAATATATAGTTGCCTGGGCCCAACCCCGCAGAATCACTGTGGGTGGGGATATTTTTGATGTACACCTAGAGTTAAGCTTCACTGGCTTAAGTGTAGTATTCCAGGATGAGACAGCTTTTGTCTCAGATATGCAAACTTTTAAGTTGCATTAGAATGTACATTAGCCATTGAAAACAGTCATTTACTTAAGTGATCCTGATATCAATTTCAGTTATTCCAGTATTCTGTGCTATTTTTAAATATCAAAGTATCAGGATGTGTGATTGTAACAATTGTTTTGAAATCTCAATCATTTAAACTTTAAGAAGACTATGTCACATTTTAATTTAGAGTCATACTGATGTGCATATGCAGATAATTGGAAAAGCAATCTGACTACATTTTTCTCCTGCACCCCAGTTCAAGACCTTTTCAAAGTGTCTGTATTTTAATTATAACCCGGTTCTCAGAATATTACTGAAACTAGATTTTTTTTAAAAAATGTTCTATTAATCATTTGTATTTCTCTGAGAGTCAGTTTGGGCCCTGGTCTACTCCTAGAATTAACTGATGGAGAAATTGTAGAATTGGAGTTGAGGGGTAGGAGGGAAGGAAGAGAGCTGTAAGGAGGATGGGAGAGCTCGGGGAAGAGACAGAGGACAGGGCTAGACGGATGAGGAAGGCGGCACTCTGCCTCAGTTCCCCGCCCTTTCTCTGGGGCCGGAGCACCTCTTTCCCATGGCAAAATTCCTTCTGTTCCCTCTCTCATGTGTCCTCCAGTTTCAAATATATCCTCTTAGGATTTGACTCGTCCTCTCATAAGATCATTTATTTTAAGCAAGTTATTTCCCCCAACCATCCTATCTGGAGACGCTCAAGCTGGAAAGACAAGAGAAGGCTCAGCTTTGAACTTGGCCTTTTCTCACATGGAACAAAAGTATAGAAGCCAATGGTGACCAAATCCTTCTTTTAAAAAATAAAATAAAAAACAATATTAGGTAATATAAATATATAGTCATTTGCTCTGATATTGCAGTCACTCCTTAACTTAAATTTCACAGTAATAAAGATGGCACATCACAAGAGTTTCAGAGGTCTTCCATGAAAAGTCTTGCTCTGTTATCACCTACCCTAGATTTGAAAGATGTTAATTAGGTAAGACCCTTTAAGAGTACTGTGAAAGTTGTTTTGTTCGCTAGCAAACCACAAATAATTTTACATTTACTCAGTATGTTTTATCTCCCTGAATTAACCCTAACCCAAGATAATTATTCTAAATTAACTTGTCACACATTCTTCCTTCTTGTCATATTAATTTGGCTACAAGGTTCTCTCTTACCTACTTCAGAGAGAAGCAGTGTACCCACAACCCTTCGTCTTCCCTCTCCCCCAAAGCAACATGACCTGTAATGTCCTCACTTTTGACAGCAGCACAGTTGCCAGCTTTACTTTAGCCTAGTAGAAATTAAGAGCTGGCAAAGATTCTCCCCTTGACCAAACTTTACTCAGGCCTCTGAGCCTTTTCATCTCTGTCCTTGTGGAGTCTAGTTTTAGCAAGAATCCCCAACCCTCGATATCTGATCACCCAAAATATGTGTCCAAATTCTTCCTTCCCTACCGCCCCCCCCCTCCCGCAAGTAAAATCTGATCACCCTTGGCTGCTTCACAGAATCCTGTAAGTCAGTCTAGCAAATAATTTACCCCACATTC